GTTGTATGGAGTACATGTGGACCAGTCATTCAAGGCAGCTGAAGGAGTCGCCGAAAGATGGCTGAAGGAAAGAGCAGAAGAATTGCTCAAGAAGCCCCGATACCAGATTATCAACGCAAGCAAACTCTGATCCTCGCACAAACTCCAGATTAGCTGACAAAGGTCCGCAGATGTGGCGACCCATTCGCCCGATAACTCGTGACCCTTTCGCGGTCTCGGATGCCCGGACTATACCAGACTCGGACTTGGTGTTTGTGCCAGTACGCTTTCCGGATCACGACACTGAAGCCGTCGAAGTTCGTCCGCCGACGGCTTCGCAGCACAAGTGGTATTTCAAAGACCAACAACAGGTTGATGACGTGCTGTTCTTCAAACAAGTGGACTCAAGCACGAAGCCTGGTGTTCCCAGAAGAGTGCCTCACTGTGCTTTCAAGGATACTGACTTGCCAGAAGGCGCTGGTGAGCCGAGAGCGAGCATTGAAGTCAGAGCATTTGTTTTCTATGATGAAGACTAGGTACATGGAGAAGTGTCTTGCAGCTCTGGCACATGAGGACATGCACATCTGAAACAGTCCGTTTCGAGATTTTGAGATCAAGCCAAGGCCCTTGAGATACTTCTCGCCAGTGCCAAGTGAACGGGCGACGTCGGGTGTAGACTGTTAATCCACATATATTCAGTAGCAGCATAGGTGCAGTTGTCCCATTTAGTGTCTGGCTCGGGCGTCCCACTAGGCCAGGTGTTAGTCAAACATATCTTTCGCCGGGTATGGGCTTGAAAATCCCGTCTTACTTTTGGTATGCTGAGCAGTATGTCGTCGTGTTCTTATAGACTGCCGTTTCTCTGTAGCGTTCGGGCGTATTCATGACTCTGTCAAACAATCCATAGGTATCGTACTGAAATACAGTCACATCTCCGTGAGCCTCTCGCAAGTCCTTAACAAATACTCCAAGACGCTCGTTCCAGTCTGCTACCGCGGCTTTCTCAAGAGGAATCCGCTCTCCAGCGGCGCTGGATTGAGTTGTTCTCGGCATCCGCTCAAGCGGCGGTACATTGAGGAACAGGAAGTTCCGAGCACCCGCCTCGTAGACTTCTTCCACCAACTTCTCGTACTTATCAAAGATTATCGGGTGAAGGTCCGTGGAATTGCCATTGGTATAAGACTTTCCAATGTCGTTGATGCCGATAAAGAAGCCGAACAGGGTAGACTCGGCATCCCAGGTTTGGTTTGTCCCGGTATAGTTGGGGATGAATCCCTCTTCAACTTGACTCACAACGTCGATGCTGGACGTCACGAGACTGTTGTCGACAGTGGCACCGCTCGCCGCGAAGTTGTAGGTCAATAGTAGAGACGCATTATGTTTGGTGGTCAAGTATTGGATCCAATTTTCTCCATTTGCGCTAGTCGGGCCCGGGTACGTCGGATTCCCAAGGGGATTGGCAATGGAGGGTTGATCGTGAGTGACATAAAATCCAGTCCTGGTATAGGAGTCTCCACTGTATTCACATCAACCCTAGAATAATCGTGTTTCAGAAGCTGTCAACTTACAACGTGAAAAGTGTCTTCAGACCAGCGAAGCCTGGGTATGCTGTGATACCTTGGGTCGCCAGAACACCAAGTACTAGCAGTGATGGAAAACTGTAGAATGACAAAAACATAGTTGTGATGGGCCTTTCAGGTGATCTAGTTTAGCTCATGAAATGTCCACATGTGTTGTCAAGAGTTAGTGAGGGAAGGAACTTTGAAAGACTTCTTATACTGATGGTGTTCTCCTCAATTCGAGTAGTCACGTTGAAGATGATGCCATCACCCCTTCCATCTTCAGCTCATCCGTGTCTCCGAGACGGGCCAGAGGATATGAAGTAGCCAGGTTGAAGCCTCTGTTCTCGTGTCTTTGTCGTACGCGTGGTTCACTAGTCTCTATGCTAGAAAGTGCGCTTGGAAGACTCGCAGGACATCGTCATGTCCGTCTACCTACATTGACAATCCATAGATAAATTCAGGGAACCGATGCAGATCGCGGAGCTATCCGCTGCTAGATGCGAATGAGGTAAGCCAGAGTGCATCAGAACTACATGTTCGAGGCAGGTTCCACCAATGGGGCGTTTTCCTCGCCGATCGCTACTTGGAATTCGCAAAGGGCCCGGCCTGCCCGGAGCAACTCGGCCGGAAGGTTGGACTCGATGTCCGACTCGCAACAGACGGGTTGCCAAGCCGACTTATAGGCCGAAGCTTGAGCCGATGAGGTTAATGTGAAGGAGTAGCTTTGGGGATTTTGAGATCATGCGAGGACTGTGGGACACTTCTCGGTGCCCACAGCTTGGATTAGGGCGATGCAGACATAACGTACATAATCTTGACAACACGAAACTAATGGGAAGTCGAAAACGATGAGGCAAAGGGCTGGCTATGATGAATGTTGAGGTTAAATGTAAGACAAGCCAGATGTGACAGACTATCACACATGAATCCTGAAGGCTGGGGGAATCATCTAATTCAACTTTGTGTGGCCACAAAGCTATTCGTCGCATTTCATTCCGAGCTCTTCACAAGAACAGCAAGGGCAATTCTCGCACTTGTCGTACGGGCCATGATACCATCATCCAACAGTCACGAAGTTCCTATAGGCAGTCTGGTAGTCCCAGACAGGGATAGAGAAGACTCCGGGGGTTCTGACGCCCTCAGGGTACAGCGTCGCTTGTGTCAAAATCCTTCAGGTAGAGCAAAATCTGAACCCTGAATCCATCGGGAAGGATCGCCGTCACGCCAGACGCAGGTGGTTGCTACAATAATTCCTCAGGGTTTACGAGCGATTTCCAGGTCTACTGTCAGGGTTCTGTTCCTACAGCTGGATTGGGGAGCGAGCTTCAAGGAGCGAACGTTTCGGTGTCGCCGGGATGTGAAGACTCGGAACTTCAATTCGAGCAGTGACTGAGGGATTACGTCGGTATCAGATGCCAATTCCAAGAGCTAAACTGGTCATAATCTGCCTCTCTCATCCGGCCATGGCTCTAATGTCACTTGTGATCAAATTTGGTGCTGAGGGCTTAATTACGGTGCTGCCTGGGTACGGGCCGAGTGGATGCATGGGTTGAAATTAACGGAGTTGAAGTCAGTCAAGTTGAGACTGGCCGTTCAGGGAACACGGCCGATATCTAAGCTTGATTGAGTCTGGAATCATGGCTGGAGTTCCTATCAAATTGTTACCGAAGAGCGCGTGGTGGACTAACTTCAACGTCCGCCTCCTCCTCCTATTCTCCATAATGGATAGTGGCTATTGGAGAATCCTCCGATCAACACACTCTAATACGATTGAATGCAAGCTCAAGATTTTCATAGTCCAGCTTACGCAATAAGTGAGCGTTCAGTCACCCGGTTTTGTGGTCTTGTGGGATCGTATGGTGGGCATTAGTCAAAGGTTAAAAAATGTGACCAGAGTTGCTGTAGGCAATACCAGCGCACATTGACGACTGAGGCTACAGGCCTAGTAAGTCTGTGATTATTCTTTTGTTGCTCAATTTAATTAGATCGTACGTGAAAGTAATTTCATCAAACCAAAAGGAAATACCTGGCGTAACCTTATAGTTATCTACTCATAACCCCCCGCCTTTCGCCCTTGACCCATCAGGCTTCTCCTTTACGACCAATGAGCTATGAGACTCAAAGTCTGATGAATTTTATTGATGATACGTCTATCGACTTGATAGAGTTAAGGGAAGACATGCCGTTCGTTCCAAAAGCCCATGGGGCCAGCCCTCTCTTGAACCACTTGCCTGTAACAACTAACACGACAGATGTATATCCCGTTTCTCAACTTTGCCTATGTAGGTCACGTTATGGGATTTTGCCCTGCTGATGAACAGCTATGAAATGCGGAATTTCTTTCGAGGTCATGACCACTGCCTTGGCCATTACGATCTGCCCCTCTAGTACGCGCACATATATGTACGCTGCCTTCGGGCATCGTTAGCAGGTCTAACTACTTTCATAAGCTAGATGATGCCTAAGTCGGTCATAACTCTCAGTCGACGGCGTTCTTTCAATACGCGGCAGTTTCCGAGGAAATTTGAGAAACTTCTTGAGCTTGTGATTGGGCCGGCTGCGATACTAAATGGACTTGTTATGGGGACAAACAGAGCAAGTCTTTGCTATTAGAAGACGCCTCCAATTTGCCTTCAAACGATCTCCAGATCTCTGGTTACCAGCCAGTCTCAGCCTTCGAAACAGTTGAAAAGTAAAGTTGGATCGATGCTTCATCTGTTTATAGTCTATGTTCCTGCCTGGAATACGTTCAATTCATTTTTGACGTCAACCAAGCTGCTCCATTAGCACCCAACTGCCATATAGAAGCTTTCTATCGAAACGTTGTGCAGTAGGGAATCGGACCGTCGATAAGGTGGCCACGATGACGACCTCGACTGGAACCAGGAGTGGTCTTGACTACAAACGCAAGGTGGCCCAGTGACCGATTGACTTTGAGGACCATTTCAATCTTGGATCATGGTTCTCCGACTCAAGATTCGTCTCAACGTAGCTAAGGGGTTCTACACCACGAAGTCTTTGATTGATTAAGCTTTTGCACGGTGCGGGCTTGAAGGTCCTTGCTCTTAAACTGTAAATCAAATGTGATGAATTCAATAGCCGCGATGGTTGTAGCGGACAGCGTTCAAGAATTGCATCGGCCATGAGTTATGAAGTAGATTATCATAGCGACTGTTTTGACATTGCGATTGTGTTGCTGGTAATATGACACGTTCTCACGTCAGATCTTTACAACACTCGCTCATCTGTGATGATATGGCCTCAGTGTTCAACTACATCGAACGAGCTATCTAGGCGCTAGATGTGAGGAGAGTATGAAAAGAGTTGAGGGTATTGAATACAAAATGAGTAATGATGTCTATATGCTAATGCCAGAATCCTTCCTGGAAATTTTATTGTATGCTGCTGCCCCAGTCCGTCATTAGTATTATAACAGTGCTTCCTTGCCATGAGTACAGTCTAGAATGCAGTGAAGACCTTCCATCCGGTGCGGTGAATTCTCGCTGCAAGGATGAAAGTCGTTCCTGCAATGCAAAACACACCCGAGAACACCTTGATGCCGACCCACCCACCGGAACCAGCCAAGATGGCTCCGTTGATAGGGTTAGTCGTCAGACCGCCAATAGAGTTTGTGAAGAACGTGATTCCCGTGCGGAAGCCAATCTCGTGGAGGGGCGAGATCTGGGCGATGAGGGGTGCAATCAGCGAAACGTACGCGCCGGAGCAGAAGCCGAAGAGGACGGCGAAGGCGATTAGCGCGCCATCCGTGTTGGCCGGGATCCAGAGGGCGAGCATCCAGATCGAGGTCAGGTAGCACACCACCACGAAGATGTTGTACTTGCCAATCTTGTCGCCCATGATGCCGGAGAACATTCGGCCGAAGAGGCTGCCGGCGTTAAGGATGGCGACTAGGTACTGCGCCAGGTTGGGGTCCATGCCAGCCTCGAGGGCCTGGACTTGGATGTAGTTGATGGGCACGAAAATGCCGTAGGTGAAGAGGAAAAAGCCGATGACGACGCAGACAAACTCATACTCCTTAAAGGGACGGATGATCTGATCCATAGATACCTTCTGGGGTCGTGGTGGGTGGAAGGCCTTGACCGTGAGGTTTGCGATGACGAGGAGTCCGAGAATCATGAAAGCGCAGATGCGCATTGCCCAGGGGTACCCCAGAGACTTGATCAATCTCGTCACCATGATCGGGAAGATGATGCCGCCGATGCTAGAGCCGGTAGAGAGGAGGCCGAAAGCGGCTCCGCGCTTGACGTTGAACCATCCGTGGATCGTGTTCAGTGCCGGCTGGAAGATGGCTGCGACACCGATGGCGGAGCACACACCTTGTGCCAAGAGTATCTGCCAGTATTGCGTTGCGAGAGAGGTCATCATGAGACCAAAGACGTGAAGAAAAGTGCCGGCGAGGATGAGGTAGCGGGGACCGTAATGGTCGTAAAGTTGGCCGATGACGGGGCCCTATGAAAGTATCAGATTGCATATTCTAATTCAGGCATTGAGAAGACCAAGAATTACCATTGCCATCATGAAGAAGATTTGAAGAGAAGGAATCCATGAAATGGTACTCGGCGAGTAGTTGCGAAGCAGATCGTTCTGGTAGTACTCCTGGAAAGCTCCGACACCTGCAGATCGACCTACGTTAGCTTCCAGAACCCCAAGAAAGCAGAAAAAATAGACTTCAGCCTCAACGTCGCAACGGGAACTGCGACTTACTGTTCACCCATCCGAAACTGCAAAATGATGTGCACCAAGCGCCAAGAACTACAAGCCATGCCGTGACACCTCCGTCCGGCGCATCGCTGCCGGGCCACGACGGCTTTGCGCCGCCGGCTGGAGAACCACCTTTTTCCGGGTCGGTCTGCCGTATCGTTGAAGGGTGATCGGAAGAGTAATCCGTTGTGTTCTGGTCCACCTTGGCTTCTGCAGCAGCTGGGTGCGGGTCTGAGAAGGTCATTTGGGAGTCCGCTGGGGACGAAAGCTGTTGTTGCTTCGACATTTTCGGCGCGAGTTCTGTTGTTTTGGCTAAAGGCTTGCTGGTGGATTCCGAGCCGCTCTGATAGCTTTGAGAAGCTTTATTGATATCTTGATTGAAGAGCTGAGTTGTTGAGGTTGTCTGTGGAATTGTCTAATGAGGATGACTCTATCCAACAAGGGATGAACATGGGTTAAGTATTTCTCAAGATTCTTTCTTTATATGAACAGAAGGAAGAGGATCAGATCCGGAGGCCAAACGACAAAGAGTAGGAATCTCAGCGACAGCGGCCCATGTCCGTACCGGACGCCGCAGGGAGATCTGCATCGTCCCCCTAGATAGGCCAGGGGCCATTATCGCATTAGAAATCGGTTTCCGTTACGACCGAGAGGGTCCCAAATCTGGTCATTGAGTCAAGTTTGCTTCCAATCTAGACCAATGTTTCCAGTGATTTGGTGCACTAGCACTGCTCGCGGCGCGAGATGGTGTGGGTTTGGCGCGCTCTGGCGGCGGTGATGGAGATCCTTTCGGCGTGCGGCGCTCTCATGAGCGCCGAGGCCGAAGTACCATTTTGTTAGCAAACACTGCAATCTCGAACCCCTTTTGCAGATCTCGGCGCCGAATGGTCTCCACTACGGCGATAGTGACATGAGCCGTTGGCATGTGCGTCCCTCGTCGAGATTGGTTGGCCTTATGGTAAAAATCTCTGAAGTAAGCATCATTTAGAGCGGCGCCAGAGAGCGGACTCTCGAGTTGAAGCTTATTGCTCTTCAGTTGTTCAGTTCTCCATTATTAATATGCTTTGGCTAGGCTCCTAACTAAATGCTGACCACCTTCAAGGACTTTGCTGTTTGCCCTTGAGATCCAATCCTCGCAAACACCTCCGTCACACTCACGGAAATATGGTCCGAAACCACGTTTACATGACCTCTGACTTCTCCGATCCCGAGATCCTCGCGTCACGACAATCTCGCTATCGCCGAGCACATCAACAGACATTACGTCTGTCGAGATGCAAAGCACAGAACTTGGGTACACCGTACACCAGACCACGGCTCCGAGGCGAGTGCCGTGAGCCAAGGAGCCGGACGATAGACATGCCCGATGCGGCGCAGGCTCAGTTGGAGTGGGTAAGACGCCTGTGATCCCACCGGATCGTTTCACACCTGTGCGTCGGTGCCCGCAACATCATCATCTTGACGAAGTTTGTCAGCAAACAATGATAGAATGAGCCAAGAGAAATCAGAACTTACCCGAGTCACCGCTGACCCCAACACCCTCCCCTTGCAACCTTCAAACTAAGGCCAAAGAAGTTCGACATGCATTAAACCAAGGGGGTATCATCAACAAATAAACGCAGCCTATGCCAATTCACACCATCTCCGTCACATCCACAGGCTTCGCAGGGTACGGCGTCTTGTGGTCTTGCGACAGTCTCACATCTTGATACTCGACGTGATCAAAGGGCTCTTCGTTCTTCAACGGCCAATTTGATCGAACCGTGCGCATCTCCGCGTCCGGCACGTCACCGACGGCCTGCCTGCCGAAGCTCTTGCGTCGTGCTGACTTGGGAACTGGCGGCAGGCTCTGTAGAGCGGCAGCGCGGTCAAAGACCGTGGGTGATTGCGGCTCGTCCGGAACGTAGAATCGTTTGGCGATGCCCGGTGCCACGTGCTTCATGAAAGCCTTGAGGAAGGGTAGACAGGTGCAGATGATGCCGACATTGGCCTCCACGACGCTAGGCACAGAGTTAGCCATCAAATATGCCTAGGTTCGGGGCTGGGGAGATACTTACCACCAGATGATGCTTATTGAAGCGGTCCAGGTGAAATCGGCATTGTTGAAGCCGAGAGGAATCATGACCATGCGGACGATACTGGGCCCGAGGACGCTAGAGAAGGCATTAGGGATGTCTTGTTGTCCTCAATGTGCAGAATCAACTTACAAGCCTCCGGCCATGAGGAAGATCGTCATCTCAATCTTCTTGACCAACCTCAATGATAGGGGCGAGAGAATCCAGATCGGTAGCAGCAAGATAGCGAGATCGGTGGCGACGTTGCAGACGGATAGCATCAGCCACCACATCGACCGGTCAACACAGGTTCCCGGCACGTCCATATCCCAAATCCTCTCCATGGGGGTGCAGAGGTATGCCCAGCCAAGCGCGCCAGCGAGCGAGTACGCTACCGTCGCAAACATGACCACGTATACGACAATTCTTACAGCGCGCTTGAGAGGGAAGCGCAGGTAGAACACGAGAATCGAGGCCTTTGTGAAGAGAACGGAGAGGCTGTACGCCGCGAGATCAACCATGCTCAGTTTATGGAAAGCCACAGCGTCGGCCCGGCTCACGTCCCAGATGTGGTGCCCGGCTCCATTCCTCGTCTCGTAGACTTGTATCACCGAGTATGCCGTAGCGAAGAGCAGTCCGATGAAGATGAGGTCGTCGTCGCGTTGGTGGCGGTGAATCACGACCTTGACCGTGTACAGGCGGATCCCGCAGAAGATGATGGCCAGGAGGTTGAGCAGGATGGTGACGATCAATACCTGTGGCACGAGGGACTCAGCGGGGTTGTCGAAGTTGGATACGACGCCCGGCGGGGGCGGCGAGGCGGCCACGAGCTCGTCTTCGCTCATTGTCCACATCGCATTATGGATCTTGTGGCGGGGTTTGGATGACAAATTTGGTCTGGCAGAATTACGACAGATACGAGCGTGTCGAGCTTGGAGAAGAGGTTCGTGTCGAGACTATTTAGCAAACACCTGAATCGCGAATACACTCCCACACATCCCCCCCCTCCCCCCATCCCCTTCCATTGACATCAGTCTGGCTGTTCCTCGCGGCAAAAAGTGGCCGTGACCGTGGTCCGTTCCTGAAACGTTGATATCGTGCCTGGAACGCACTGACTGGTTCGATGAACTGGATCCAAGGCACGTTGACCATCGGCAAATACTACCAACCGCAATGCTTCATCTTGGAAAGCTTAACTTCGTTCCCATGTCCACTTGGGAACTAGGCCAGGGGTAAGTTGAGGTCACTTGAGGATAGTCGCGGTCGGCAGTTCAAGCTTATCGACCGGAGAACAATACCGACAGGCAGGGTCACCTTACATCGGGAGCCGGCAAGCCAAGACAGAAACAAGACTTTTATCCCACGTAGCGCAAGTCGTCGGCACCTTGGCAAGTATGTTCCTGAAGTTAGCGACTGCTTCTAGAGGCCCCCTGAAGATCTCTCCCGCCTTCGCCAAGCGCTTAGCAGGCTTAAGGTTGTTTGCTTGGCGGAAAGAAGCATAACGATATTATCCCGATGGACGCTGAGTGGACGCGGACGCGAGGAGGGTGCAGCCGCAGATGCAGCTGGTGCGGCGGACAGTGTTTGTTCCTTAAAGTATAAAGCATGGGAATCGTGCTTTGGGACAAAGGGAACAGTGAACAAACCCCGGCCAGCTAGGAGAGCGCTTGCTATCAGAGTTCGCCGCGGAAGGCGAAGGTGATGGCAATTGGTTGGAAGCGAGAATCTTCATCCGTCACGGCATCCGTATTCCTCTATTCATCGTTGGGCAAGTCATTAAGCTCCCGGCGATGACTTGAAAGGGCAAAGGGGGAGGTCGTTGGAAGGAAGAGTAAACATAAGCTTTTCCCAGGGCTGAACAGGGATGGTAGACGAAACACAGGAAACACAGGAAACAAGTGAGGAGTCTTGGCTCGATCGCTTCTTTACGCGGCAGCGAAGCGAATCTTGCCCTATCTGGGCGATTTATGAAATCGTGGTAAAACGGCGTGTCGAGGTGTCATCCCTGGCCTGAAGCATTTGACCCCAAACTTTAACTCAAACTTTTGGGCGGAAGTAGTTGAGGCTAGTCAGCCTTCTTTCAATGTCAGCTGTTTCTCACAACGAATGGCAGTTGTCCCTCCAGTCTCTGAACCGGATGGATGGTTCAATGTGTGGCGGACGTTGAAGATGGGGCGAGTTGGGTTGATGTTAGACCAAGCAACCTGATGTCTTGGCCAGCGAAACAAGCCAAGATCGTCGCGCCGTCTCATTGTATATCGTCCTAACACTCATGTCAAGCAATGACTGGGCGAGCTCGAGCCATCGAGATTGGTCAAGATGATCATCTCGTCCCAGAGAATACCATCTTCCACTATGAGTCTTTGGGTGATAGCTTCATGAGGCAATTCTCCCACATAACTCAAGACTATGAAGGCAGTGCGAAAGTTATCCCACTTACAGAGCCATTTGTCAGACTAGAATATCTCTTGGATATACTGTGAGTTGTCTCTAGGAGTTTCAATCGCTCTTGAAAACAAAGTCGCATGTAGGCCCTGTCGGTGGAACGTCAAATATACCAACTGCCAAGGAACATGACGTTATGAACCACAGACCAAGCACATACGCAGTGTAACCAGAATATTCGACGACCGCTTCCTGGACCAAGCGTCGAGCTCATGTCACGGTTTGCGGGGAAAGACAAACATTCGTGTCTCGGGCCAGAAACGCTATGGTCTACGCCACGCGGAGACTCGAGACGCCGGCAGCTTGTTTGCTTTTTGACTGCCGTCTGCCGATTAACCAATCCCATTCGCCGGTTTTCATCTGGTTCCCTTCAAAGTCGTAAGTCGTCCCGTCTTGGGATTACGGCGCCATTGTTTTGGATGCTTTTGGGCAGATTTATCGGTTCCTTTTGAAACTAGACGTCTGTCGTCTGTCGAGTTGGATGAATGGAAACCAGTCGTCTCATTGCCGCCATAGTGTTGTTCTTTACGCTCGGCCTTTGGCCACAGTCCGCGAGACCGAATTTCCCTCTTTTCGATTCAGTCTGTCATCTGGAACTGTCGAAATCTCGCCGTCTGTGCGGGTGAAGGAGTAGAGTTGGATGACTTCACTAATGACTCTCACGCACAACTAAGGTACCGGGAAATAAAAAGTCTGCACACACTATGTCCGTTCACTCAACGTTGTCAATTGCCGCGATATTCCACATTTTCCGGCCGGCCATGATAGACCCCGATTGGCATCCCCGGGATCCGCATGCTCCCTCGGACGCCGTGGAAAGTTGGCACACCTATTTGCTTCTTCCGCATTATTACAGGTTAGCCGAACGAATTGGTGTTGGCACATATTGGCATGCATCGCACGGAGCCCCCGTTCCTGCAGCTCCTGCAGTTTGCCTGCAGGGCAGCAAGAGAGAAAAGAGAAGGTCGTGAACAGGGTTACATCGGCCATGAGGTCGTGCTAGGCCCAAATGTGAAGTTGCGTTGGCAATCAAGCCACCATCGAGTCTTTGAACACGAGAAAAAGGCATGGCAGAGCCGACGTCGGCTTGATGTTCATCAAGCATACTTTATGAGCTGCAGATGTAGTCTTATCCTCGAGATATGGCGTATCGTGTGATCTACAGACGACTCTCTTGATACAGGCTCGCTCATAGGTGGTCAGAGGCGTGATGAAAAAAGCAGTGGTAGATAGCTCGCCAGCTTGCCAAGATGTTTAATGAATGCCCTTGTCGGTTACCCATGCTTGATAGGGTCGCAGCGCCGAATACGAACGACCTACGATTGCATTGGCATGTCACTTGCGTTGGAGTCACTGGCTAATGCAACAACACGCCGGACGCGCTGGATAATGGAAATTAGATGCTCAAGATACGAGTCGCGATGGTGTCGTTACTGTATATAATGCCATCATCATGTTCTCGTACAGTTGAGGAAGAGGCTTTCGAGGGGCACGGCTTCACGTCACCAGATCTCCTGTGATCCCACATTCGTTTAATCGTCAGAAAGAAGGGGTATCGCCCCTTGACGCAGGATGCATCTGTCCACTCTTTTGCTTGCCGCCACGAGCGTGGTAGGCATCGCTGCCCAAAGCAATCACCCGCTCATGCGCCGAGCTGATGACAACGCCCCCGAGACAGCAGCAAACAAGACGACAGTTGAGCCCAAACGCTTCATCGTCGAGTTCAACAAGGTACATCTCATCTTTCTCCTCAGCCTCGACCAAACAACCGAGGAACAATACTAACAATCCCAGGGCGTCGACGCATCCGCCCTAGCCGCCGACATCGCCAACCAGCGCGGCGCAAAGGTCCTCCGCGTCTTCACCAGCGACATCTTCACCGGCGCCGCCGTCGAGACGGACGTGGAGAACATTGACTCTCTGCAGGCGCTGGAGCCCGTGAAGGTGGCCTGGCAGTCCCGCAAGTTGAAGCTTGCGCCCAGCACGCCGCTTGCCTCATTTGTGGAGAATGCTACTGCCATCGACTATGATATTCACCACATGACTGGTGTTGATAAGCTGCATGAGGCTGGTGTGTTGGGCAAGGGAGCCAAAGTTGCTGTTGTTGATACTGGGATTTGGTATACTCATGAAGCGGTACGTAATAGAGTCTCCGTGTGAAATGCTCGGTGAGTTTCTGACATACAACAGCTCGGTGGTGGATTTGGTGAGGGCTTCAAGGTTGCTGGTGGTTATGACTTTGTTGGTGATGGATGTGAGTTCACTCAGAACCCCTCTTCAGTCATCCGGATATTAACAGCTTCAGCTTGGCCGAACGAGGGTCAAGTAAAGAACCCCGATGCCGACCCCTTGGACCAGCAAGGCCACGGAACCCACGTCGCCGGCATCATCGCCGGTAACAGCAGCATGTAAGTCCATACCTCTCATCACACATCGAACCTCCCCAGCTAACACGCCTCAAGCCTCACCGGCGTCGCCCCAGCAGCAACCCTCTACGCCTACAAAGTCTTCGGCACAGTAGACGGTACCGACGAAGACACCCTCATCGAGGCCTTCCTCGCAGCCTACGAAGCCGGCGTGGATATCATCACCTCCTCCATCGGCGGCATCAGCGGCTTCACAGACAACGCCTGGGCCGTCGTGGCCACGCGCCTCGTAGACCAGGGCGTCGTCGTCACTATCTCCGCCGGCAACGACGGGCAAGCCGGCGCCTATGCGGCCAGCAGCGGCTCCTCGGGCGAGCACGTCGTCGCCGTGGCATCCGTCGAGGCTGACGTGCTCGCTTCCTCGTCGTTCCGGGGTGTTTTCTCCCTCGGCGGCGAGACGAATGAGACGAGGGTTGCGTATCGTGCTGTCGAAGATTGGTACCCTTCCGAGGTGAAGGATTGGCCCATCGTGCCCCTGAGCCTCAACTCGAGTACCGCAGATGAGGCCTGCAACCCTCTTCCTACGGGAACTACCCCGGACCTGACGGGAGTCGTGGCCCTCGTCCGCAGGGGAGGCTGCAACTTCGACCAGAAGCAACGGAACCTAGCCCCCTTCAACGCCTCGCACATCCTCTTCTACAGCAACGAGATGCCGCTCGTACGCCCAACGACGGAAGACACATCAAGCCTCATCGCAATGGTTGACGCGCGCGTCGGCGCCGCTATCATCGACACCGTCCGCGCGGGCGGCAAGGTAACGGCAGACTTCACGGAGCGTCCCATCTTCCACATCGTCGGCATCAACAACGAAGAGAACGGCGGTGTCGCAAGCTCCTTCACCTCCATCGGCGCCACGAATGACCTCTTCATCAAGCCTGATGTCGCGGCCCCTGGTGGCCAGATCTTGAGTTCGTATGTCGGTGGAGGGTATGCCATCCTCAGCGGCACGTCTATGAGCTGTCCCTACGTCGCCGGCGTCGCGGCGCTTTGGGCAGGCAAGTTCGGAGGACGCAGCGTTCACGGGCCAGAATGGGCAAAGAACCTCGCCATGCGTCTCATCTCCTCCGGCGAGGCGATCAAATGGGACGACGGCCAGCTCAACAACAACCCATACGACTTCCTCGCGCCCGTAGCGCAGGTCGGAACGGGTCTCATCAACGCCACCAAAGTACTCGAGTACGGCACCACCCTCTCCTTTGCCAAGGTCGCACTCAACGACACACATCACTTCAGCCGGTACCATGCCGTCGACATCACCAACGCCGGCACCAAGCCCGTGACGTACACCTTTGAGCAGCAGGAGTTTGGCGGCATGAACACCGTCAACCTCGACCCGACTGCGTGGGGAACGCCCAAGATTGCGTGGTTCGAGGAGGTCATGGCCGCGCCTCAGAAGATGACGCCGTCAATATCCTTCCCCGGCCCCCTGACTGTCCAGCCGGGAGAGACGAAGACTGCTCAGTTCGGCTTCAACTACCCCGACGCCACAGCTCAGGGCCTTGATCCGGCCAAGCTGCCCCTTTACAGCGGAAAGGTCCTCATAAAGGGGAGTAACGGTGAGACGCTCGGTGTGCCATACCTGGGTCTGGCTGCGGACCTTCACAAGGACGTGGGCATCATGTTCCAGTATCCGACGGGTTTCCCGCGCATCACGTCTACCCGTAGCGACATCCCTATTGCTCAGAAAGCCAACTTCACGTTCAACCTTGACCCGGCGGTCCAGGACTTTCCTAACCTATACGCCCGCATTCAGTACGCCACCCGCGAGCTGCGGTGGGACATCTTTGATGCGTCCTGGGTGGAGAGAGACTGGAAGTACCCTCCCGTCGTCGGCCAGGCTGGCTTCGTGGGCGCGGCGACGAGCTGGGCGAAGGCCTCGGGGAAGACGTTTATCGATCCTAGTGTGGATGACCCGAACGATATCATCACGCTGCCCATGCGTGACGTGCCTAGAGACATCGTCGGTGTGTACGGTGTTGAGTTGTGGTGGCTGGGTCGTCTGGCGAATGGTACGCAGATCGCGCCTGGCAAGTATAAGATGCGATTCGCTGCTTTGGTTCCGTTTGGGAACCCTGAGGCTTCAGATAATTGGGATGTCTACGAGACTCCAGCCTTTGAAGTCTTGCCTCTGTCAGTTTGAGGTTTCGTTCGAAGTTAAGTAAGGGTTGTGTGGCATTATAGCAGTAGCAGCGCGTAGGTACTGTCGCGCATGTATAGAGACAAGATCATCTCTGCAAGAAATATACTTCGTATTGGGTATTATGTCTCCGACTTTGAATGTGACAAGCTCGCGTGTATGCGTGCTGGCAATTCACCGTCTGATGTAAATGGCTATAAATGACTGCGACCCTCGAAAGGGACTATGTTCTGGTATCTCTAACTCGTAAACTTGATCATAAATCACAGCTTCTCCGTCTGATTCCTGCTCAGAGTCTGGTGCTGCTCGGCAATGAAGACCTCTTCCGAGGTGAGCTGGTACTTGCCGGACTGGCGAGCCGAGACGCCCTTCTGGAACATGACATCCATCTCGCCAAAGGTGCGGCCCTTGGTCTCGAACATGCGGAAGTAACCCCAGACCCAGGTAAGGGTAGCAAGGACTGCCCAGAAGAATGCCTGTATGTCTAAGTTAGTAATGCGCAGATACGGCTTGAGATTGGTATTGTCACTTACAGTCTTTCCCTTCAGGTTCCAGTCACCAGGTGCCAGCATCTTGGGCTGGATGAGGCCACCACAGATGATGTTACCGACGTAGTAGGTGCTGCGAGCCAAGACGACAGTCTGGGTGCGAAGACGAGTAGAGCCAATCTCGGCGACAAGGGTGTAAACGATAGGACCGACGGACATGGAGTAGAAGCCGAGCCATACGACGCAAAGGATGGACTGTCCCCAGATGATGCCACCAGTCTGGTTCGGGGCAACAGACAAAAATCCGATGATCCATAGGCAGGCCACAAGAAGAGAGAATCCGACAATCCAGATAGTACGACGACCAAACTTGTAGATGTATAGCCAAGAGATACAGGTGCCGAGGAAAGCGATGCCGGTACCTCCCAAGCTGATGGCGTACGAAGCGGAGGCGCTGATTCCAGTTTGCTGGAAGAAGAAGGAGCCGGAGTAGCAGAGGGCGCCGCCGTTAGTAATTTGAGACATGAATGCCATGCAAGCGATCTCGGTACGTCGGAGGTTGGTTCCCTTGAAGCAGTCAAACAGAGAAGCGCCGGCTTGCTCCTCAATCTCGAGCTTGTTCGTATGGACCATCATGGCCACAGTGGCATCTAGATCAACGTTGTGTTCAGGCTCTGAGAGGCGCGCGAGCGACTTCTTGGCCGCATCGAGGTTGCCTTTACGAACGTGGTGCCAGGGAGACTCAGGGGCGAGCCAAGCGGCAATGATGAGGGGGATGGGCCAGACCCACTGCACGGCAAAGGGGATCTTGTAACTCCACTGACCCTTGACGTCGACGAGTCCTTTGAGGATACCGGCAGAGATGAACTGACCGATACACCAGCACAGGTTGACGTAGGAAGTCAGGTATCCACGGATAGCAAGGGGCGTGACCTCGGCAGCGTACGCAGGGCCAGTTGTGGCGAAGACACCCCAGGGAATGTTGCAGAGAACTTGACCAGCCAATTGCATCTCGATGTTGTGGGCGAAGAAAACGACAAAGACGAAGGCGGCGAGCCAGACGAGAGAAAAGATGAGGACCTTGCGGTGACCGAACTTTGGGGTCAAGTATCCGTTCAGGATGGCACCGACGATGTTTGCGACAGCTCCGATGGCGTTGAACTTCTGTTGCCAGGACGAAGAGATCTGGTAGCCGTTTTCCTCGTCGAGGTATTCACCGTACTTTTCGCGGAACGCGGGATAACCGTAGAAGGAGCCGATCAAGGTGACATCGTAACCCTCCATAATGACCGTGGTTGAGATGACTGGCGAAGAGGAGAAACGTCAGACGATTACTTGTAAGCAGAAGGCCCGTTTTAGGGGGACAACTCACGGATGGACCAGAAGGCGGCGCGCTTGTAGGTCTTGAGACCTTGCCAGACACCGAAGCTGTGTTCAATGTTGGTACCCTCGTGGGCCTCATTGTTGAGTCCCTTGTCGTCGAGGCTCACATCATTGAGGTGCGTGATGTGAGAGGGACCCTTTTCGACATGGATAGGGTCTTGTGGCTGGGAAGCCGTCTTTTGGGTGATGTCGTTGGACATGGCTGCGAACGCTCTGGGGCTGCTTGAAGCTGTTGACGATGGGCAAGCTCCTGGAGCAGAGTCGTATCGAGAAGAGACAGGAGGACCAGGCACGGCGAACTGGGGGTGGGCAGTTGTAGTATTTTAAAGTCGCGTCGAGGCGAGATCAAGGTGGTACCAGACAGTCGGCTTTCTCTCGTCTCATGCCATGGTTGCAGTCTGCAGAATATGCATGGTACTGGGACGAGGATGGGACGGTTGGCCTGAGCCGACCCCGTGGAGAAGCAGTTTGTTTCCCCCAAGCTTGGCCTCTATGGATGGGCCATTCCCCAATCAAACCGTGTTGGAGATCCTTCGTCGTGCCGGCCGGGGTAGGCTATACCGTTCACGCTCAAGCCATGTTCTCCTCATGGTACTGGATGTCTGGGCGGGCATGGGAAATGCTGGCCATGTGCGAGGCAGAACCCACATTCAAGTGGAAAGCCGATCGGGGCCTTGTGGCTAGCGGCGGGATTGACGGTCTTGGAAGATGTTGAGTGGGTGAAGGAAGCCATGGGGAAGAAAGTGCGGAGAGAGACGAGGGAGTTGACGAGCTGTGAATGGTCGAAACATGCCAGACGCCGGCGGGAGTAGCTAAGGGAAGCCAGCCGGGGGCGGGGAGAGGCAGATTACTGATGGGCCGTGGTCGATGTGGTGCCAAAACGAGTCCGGGGTTCTCGTCCTCGAGGAGTCTTTCGTAACGAGTCTGGAGACAAGGGGGAGAACTCGTGACTGGTGGTGACTGACAAAAAGTCAGGATGGGGGAGGCAGGATGGCGGCGCAGTAGGGACGACGGACCGTCGAATCTGGGGGGGCTTCTGGTCAGTGGTTAGTCTGGGATCGAGGCATCAAGCAAAGAGGAAGCGTAAGAGACAAACTTGACTTCAAGAGGCTAGAAGGGAAATATCGTCCGAGGCTTGGAGGAGGACAATTGGTGGAACTTTTCCCAAGGACGAAATTGACTGTTGGGGATGGCGGCGGGTGGCCTGGGGGATCGGAAGAGTCAATGTGCCTAGCGCGTCCAAAAACGGATTAGGGTCGTTTGGCGAAAACTAGCGCGCCCTTAGCGAGGATGAAGTGGGTCGTGGCGGACCCGACGAGGAAGGAGATGTGGGGTAAGTCTGGGGATTTAGTGGCGTGATGGGCCGCACTGGATGCCCGGGGCCGCTGAGGAGTCGCTGGAGTTCACTGTAGGGCAGCCGTCTAGGCCTTGATGGCCGGTTCAGTTAGCAGACGGATGCGCTGAAGCACTTCCCCATCCAGGCCCAGCCCACACCTCTCGTGCTGGGTTTCCCCAAGTTTTGCGCCCTTCATCTGCAATGCCACCACCTCGCTTTCGTTTGTTGGTTCATTGCCGTTGCAGCAGGCGATGTGCAGCTTTTGTGTACCTCCACGTAGGAAGTCAGCTTGAATATGCTAAATTCATGTCCTGTTTGGTGTGGAAGTCGAGAGCAGCAGCAGTCACGAGAAGACTGAAAATTCGAGGTGCAGAGCGAACGGTTAAATGTCTGGGTACGTATCCCCTCTTCTCGTGCCGGGCTTAGGTAATTCCACAGTGGCTCCAGAGCTACCCAGGGCAGTACGTACCCATGGGTCATCCCCGGTTGCACCCGACAACAACCACTGCAACCTCAGGAGAACAATTTACGACCAACAACGACACCCACTCTCCATCGACCTGCGTTAAACAGCCGACTTTGACCACGCCTTCCTCCCGAGGCTATTCGGCTCACTCTGGCCTGTCCGTTGCCTCCTGGCTCATTGTTGGCATTGGACACGGCATGAGAAGTCCCTATGGACGGAGACCTACGAGAAGCTTGATCGATGCTGATATTTGACACCTAGTGTACGCCGTGCTTGGCTCTGCCCACAATGCAGATGCCGATTCCGAAAACATCACTGGCTACTCCCAACGACGCGGTCGGGTCACGTTCGAATCAAGGGGACACTCCCACCATCCGATTCCCCCAGAAGGTAGACACCATCTTCCTGCAAGCATCTGCCAGGTCGACAGGGAATGTGCCTTGACTTTCGGCTCCAAACCTCCTCCTGCCGTCGCCCCCAAAGGTCCCAACCAGTCACAACTTGCAATTGCTGCTGTGGAGTTCCGCGCGAATCAACTCCCTGTCTTCTCCAATTCTGCTTCTCCTCCTCGGCCTGCCTCGGCCGAACCTCGACGTCCACTGGTCACAACCGAGTCTCATACGGATACGTGCATTAGGGGTCGTTTACTCTCACATTGTGAAAAGAGCACATTAACCCATTTGAGCTGCTGATCCTGGAGGGAGCTAAACAAAGCATCAGAAGTCTAGTCTCCGACAAATCCTATAAACTCCTCCTCATACCAAGGTATGAATAACTGTCTATTTCCATCGTCTATATCGCGGCAACATGGGCAACCTGGTTAGGGACAAGGCCCGCAGGTGGAGCTCCGAAGAGAGTGGTTCTCGCATGTCCGCATAGAGCACCTCGATTGAAGCCACAGGGTCATGGGAACCACTAGAGCCGTGATGTTACGACCATAACCTGCCGTTGAGCCTCAACATTTACTGGCAGCAACGGATTCTACACGAATACGTGCATTAGGGGCAGGAAACTTGATCGTGAACGAAACTCATGGTGTTGTGTGAACTACTGAATCTAGAGAATAGAGGAAAGTGATGCTCAGGAGCTCTCAATAATCTCTTGTACTTATTGACTACCCACCCCTTGCGAGGAGCTGATCTGAAGAGGCACACCACATCCTCTATAGTGCTTTCCTGGCATAATAAAAAGCTCGGGATTTCCATCATCGCGGTCATAGCCAGCATCACCGGCATCAGGAAGCATCCGGCATCAGGAAGCATCCGGCATCAGGAAGCATCGGAGCGAAAAGGGCAACTTGAGTAATAGAGCAGTAAGCATGACATAGGTAAGTACGGCCGAGCCTCGGTCTCAACTAGCAGCAGCGGATTCTTACACGAATACGTGCGTTAGGGATAGTCAACTCCTAAAGTGTGAAAGAAATTCATTGTGTTGTGTGAACTACTGGGACTACAAGGAACAGAGCAAAGTGGATTAAGTAATGTTCTAGAGCATTCAAATCTTCTTGTTGTATTATTTAACTACCCTCCCCTTGCGAGGAGGGTTTCTAATCTAACATAATACTAACTTCTAGCCTACCTTAGTATTCATCCTGCATTACAAATAGCTCTGGGTCGCCATCGTCAACGTCATTCTGAGCGGCGCCAACTACAGATAGGCTATAGAGGTAGCTGGTGTAATAGAGCAGTAAGCTTAACATAAATACCGCTGAGCCTCGACTCTCACTGGCAGCAACGGATTCTCACGCGAATACGTGCAATAAGAGTAGGAAACTTCCAGACTATGAAAGAAGCTCACTGTGTTGTGTGAATCACTGGATCTAGAGGAACAGAAAGAAGAAAGTGATGTTTAGGAACTCGAGTATCTATTGTACTTATTGATTACCCTCCCCTTTCGGGGAGGGTTTCTAATACTAAAAGGCACGCCACACTCTTCTAGTGTTCTCCTGGCATAACGAAAAGCTCGGCATCTCCATCGTCTCGGTCATAGCCAGCATCACCGGCATCGGGAAGCATCAGGGCGACGGGAGCCACAGGGTTGGGCACGAAGCCCGCAGGCGGAACTCCAAGGAGAGCAGCAGGAGGCGCGGCCGGGGGCGGGGCGGGGGCGGCAGCGAGCACAGCGGCCGGAGCAGCGGCGTGAAGGGCGGCCGGAGCGGGAGCACCCGCGCGGGTGCGGGTGCGAATGAGGCACATGGGGTGAGGGGCATGATTACCCGCGCTGCCCACGTAACAAGGGCAGTACGCCCCAACGTCGTTGACCAGCCAGGGGGCATTGCGCATGACCCAGTTGATAGCCGGCTCGTCCTGCAAGCGAGGGGACCACTTGCAGTGGTTGCACGTGGCGAACGTCTTCAAGACGCGCGACTGTGCATCTGGGTCCTGGAAGCGGGTATTCCACGCCACATTGCCATTCTTGCGGCACTTAGAACAGTGCATCGGGTTGGCGGCTCCAGGGAGGCTTGGCTGGGGAGCTTGAGCACCTATGATGGCATTATGGATGTTGGGGGCATGGTTTCCGGCACCGACAGCGTTGGGAATCTGCTGTTGATGAGGCTGAGCAGCCATGTTGGCGTTGTGGTTGGAAGCCGCCATTGCGGCACCGATAGCGGTGTACACCTGCTGCTGGGCATGAAGAGCCTGGCCGAAGGCCAAGGACTGAGGACCATGAGCAGCCATGATGGCGTTCTGCGAAGTGGCAGCAGGGTTTCCGGCACCGACAGGGTTGGGCATCTGCTGATGGGCTTGATTGTTCTGGCCAAAAGCCTGGCCGTGGACCTGAAGCGCGAGCTGGTGCTGATTCTGGGCAGTGGGGTCGTGAGCAATCCTGAGCATAAGGTGATTAGCATTATCATATGTTAGTGTTGAGAGATGGGTGCTTACGGGACCATGCCGTGGTGATGGTTGGGGACAAGCACATGGTGCTGCTGGGCCTGCTGCTGCTGGGCCTGCTGGATATCATCATCGTGAAGATTCATGTCGCTGTTATGACCAGGGCTGTCAGCAGCGGGGCCATCAGGAGCATTGATCTCGGCCTGATGCTGCTGGATCTGCTGGGCGTCATGACCATGGGCGCTCATGTTGTCGCCAGAGGCGTTGCTACCAGAAGCCTGGCTAGCGGACTGCTGCTGCTGCATGTTGCGCTCCATTGTATCTGGCTACGCAGAAGATTAGTATCGCACGGCTTTACGAAAAGAATATTCGTGGCGATCGTCCAGGGATGGAGACTCACAGGATATGGTTCTGCTTGATGAAGATGAAGCTGAAGTGTTTAGGATACTGGCGGAAGAGTTCAACCACTGATAAAAGTGACGGCGTGATGGCTCGGGATGCTGATGTCGACAATCCGGCGAGTAGGGTAGATGACGATGCTGTCCGATGATGAGAATAGCTGCTTGTAGCTACGACTGATGAGGATGGCGATGGAAAGAACTCGTCGAATTGTTGACTATTCGCTCGAAGATGAGGATGGAGAAGCTGAAATATTCCGCGCGGTCAGTAATCCTGCTCTTCGACAATGATACATCTCTCGGGAAATAAAATAGAAGATAGAAAATGAAGAACTCACGATGAAGAGGAATGCTGAAGCTTCTTTCGATGATAATGCGCGATGGCGTACTTGATGTTTTGATTGAATCCTGACCAAAATCGCGGCTGAGGAAAAGAAGAGTTTTCTGGAAGGTGGGCGATGCGACGAGAAAGAGAAAGGTAAACAAAAGAAAAGCCCTCGACGACTAATCACAATTGTAGACAGATCATGATTGTCGACTAAGCATGATGAGTTGTCCTGAGGAATCATGATGTCTTCAAAGCCGCAGTTGGATGGAGTGACGGGAACCATGCAGGCCGCAGTAGACACGGCTCCCGGGAGCTGTACAAGCCGCATGAAATAGGGAGGGCGGGAGCAATCCGGAGTTTAGTAGACTGGACGAACGGTGGAAGGCACTATATCCCAAGTCTTAGAAAGACATGAAATGTTCAGACGGCTGGAGCTATCCAAAGTTGCTGTGATAGAGCTGGGACGACTGGATGGACTACAACTTACGATGAAGAAGTTGAGACGATAGAGATAACATCAATGGGACGAGTCACGAAAAGCAAACACTTCAGACGAACAGCCAAGAAGATCAAGTTGTCTGGGTTAACAGATGGATATAATACATTCCATAGAACATGATGAGAACTGTTCACTAGTTGACGAGAAGAATCTGCGTATGTGAGATGTAACGAAATTAATAGTTCAAGTTACCCAGGCTCTTTGATTTCCACTTGTCGTTGGCTTTCAAACTTCTTTCCACAACTCTGGATTCGGTCGGGCGTCATTATCACTGTCTCGGTCAAAATATGTGAAAAGATTTGATGGTCAATGTGGAGTAGAAGAATAAGGTGCTTACAACATGTGGGTGAATGCTTTGTGCATACATGCCTCATGACTCGCTTTGCTTCGGATTCATGAGCAAAGAGCCACAATGTTTTCAAGCTTCTAGCCTATCCTCGAACTCAAGACCACAAGTTTTGTCTAAAGCTCTGAAATCCAGGAAGCAAACTACAATCCAAGCCAACCAGTCGCTGTTTTCAACTCCAAGATGGCAAAACTTCCAAGGGCTCAGGTCGCAGAGGTCAATGGCGAATAGGTTCCAGGTATCGACAGGAATGTTGAGGGAACATACACAGATATCTCAACAACTTAGAACGACTCACTCGATTGCTTGGACGTTGGAAGCTAATTGCGGGGCAAGAACAGAATGTGTCTTGACAATCATTTCGCACATACTTCAAATTTACCTCAAGTTCATGTTGAGTTTCTAGGTCTCGTAAAAAGTGATTTCCAGTTTGTTGATGGAATATAATATGGACCGAATGTCAAAATAACATACACATCTACAAAAGCCCCTGGTTCGCACACTCTGTTTCGATATCAGACAGTGTGCGCTTGCCGACGGTGACATTGTTGTTTTGGCCATAGCTACGGACAAGCCGGTCCTCAGCCGTGTAGACAGGCCATCCGATAGCGTCCAGACCCGCAGTCGAGTCCTTCACAAAAGCGGCATACGCATCCATCATGATGTGGCTGAGCTCATACTCGAACACGGTGGAGTTACCACGGAAGTCGGCGTGTGTGCCAAAGATCATGGGAAGCTCGCTACCATGGTAAGCACCCATCCACGGGCGGGGCGAGGTGTTGTTGAACACGGCAGAGTAGTAGTAGCGGTATGTGGTCCTTCCCGCGGCCAGACGCTCACTAGGTTCCTTCAGTTAGAATCGGGCTACTTGCGGCGGAGAAGAGGAAGGCTCACTTAGTGGTCTTGGTGGCAGGGCACCAGAAGAACTGGTAGGACAAGGCATCAGCGACGGCGGGATCGGGACCGTTCTCCGCATCGTAAGGGGCAAGGAAGAGGCCCTCTGCGGCGTTGAATCCGATGATTGCGGGCTGTTAGTTGTTAGCAAATCACTCTCGCTAAGAACATCTCCAGGAAGTCAACTTACAAGATCGGACAGCTCGCCAAGAGCAGCCTTCTCGGTGTAGTTGGCAAAGACAATCTTGTTATCAATCTGGGGAGAGAAGCCAATGGTAGGCGTGACCTCAGAGTCCTTGTAAGTGGCCACAAAGTTCTCAAGCTTCTCTGCAGGAATCTTGCGCATGCATGCCAACTCAGCCTCGGCGGTTGTCGAGTTGCCGCAACCAAGCTGCTGTGCGACGAACGTGAAATTGGAGTGGGACTCGTCGTGGTTCATCAGCTGGTCCAGGTGCGCCGTGCCGGAGTCCATGATGAGGCCCCTGACGATGGGGTCCTCGGCGTACGCGAAGCTGTAGTAGTCGACGGCGATGGAACCGGCGGAGTGGCCCCAAATAGTCATGCGCTCAGGGTCACCACCAAACTGTGCGATGTTGTCGCGAATCCACTCGACAGCGAAGCGCTGGTCCATCAGTCCGAGGTTCTGCTCCTTCAGCGCGGCAGAGTTGGGGAAACCGAAGAGCTTCATGCGGTAGTTGAAGGTAACGAAGATGTGCGACTGCGAGCGCTGGATCCAGTTTTGAGGCATTTGGTAGGGAACATCGGTGCCGCCCGTCTCGAAGCCGCCGCCGTAGAACCAAATGATGACCGGGAGTCCCTCTCCGGAAGCTTGCTGCTCGCCGGTAGCCAGAACGGCGCCGGCAGGGGCCCACACGCTAGCAGTGAGGCAGTCCTCGTCCATGCCGGCATCGCCGATCATGAACTCAGGCACATCCACACGCTGGATGGCAGGGTGGATGGAGATGTACTGCCAGCACGAGGGCGGTAACGCCGTGGCGTTGAGGACGGTTCCATTGGCGAAAGGAGTACTTGACTGGGGAGCAACATAGGGCTGGGGGGGTTCCCAGCGCAAATCGTCGAGAGGCGGCGCGGCGTAGGGGATGCCAAGGAACTCGGCGACGTTGGAGGCATCGGGGGCGATCCGGCCCTGGACCGTGAGACCGTTTTCAAGTTGCACGCTGGGACCTGCGCTCGCGGAGGCGAGGAGGCCGGCAAAGGTAGCCACGAACTTTGCGTTGCACATCATGACGGAGGCGACTCTCTGTGACTGTAGCGACAGACTGGAGTTGACGAAAGTGGCTTGGCAACTGTTCCTTCAACAGCATCAGGAGAGACTTTAGAATTATATCACGGAAGTCCTCCGGAAGTCGGGGGGCTTCTTCGCAATTTTTCGACATCCTAGCAATCCCGACTCCTGAATGACATCCTTCAATGGACTGATGGTCCACTAACATCGCGACTCTGCACTGCCCGAACAGGAAACAAGACGTTGCACGGTTCGCCTTTCATCGGAAATTGGTGGGCAGAACCCCACACTATTCAACGTTGACATCGGCAGTTCTCCAGTTGCGAGATGGGCGTCATTGGTGAGTTGGAGGGGTTAAACGTCTCTGCTATGGGTTTGCGAGTCAACTCCCTGCCGCGCCCTCCACCTGGACCTGTCGATCAGCAATCGGATGCTGCTAAACAACTCTTTTCCCCCTGAGTGCCCGCTTGATGATCGGAGGGAACGGGGATTGGGGATAGTATTGAACCCACTGCAAACGTGGTCCGCAACTCGTCAGCAACCTGTCAGCGGAACTCGGATAGTTGATAACTTCGATAGATCCGCTGCGATTTCGGGAGCTACGCCCGTATCTCTAAGAGATCAACTAGAGATAGATTCAGTACTTCACTAAAAGCCACAAGGCACAACAAGTACTTGCTCAGAAATGGAGTGGTTGTGAAGCAACTTTGCGGGAGTAATGAGAGTGCGCATCGGCCAGGGCAGAGCCGAACAGGAGTGCAGACCATGGCTCTGCTTTGAAATGAGGTGTCGAGCACTAATCGCATTGACCCACACTTACAAGAAGTAAGAAGACACCCATTGAAAAATCCAAGATTACAGAACAAGTTCGATGATAAAGTAGGTCACCGTCCTTAGCAAGTGGATTCAACTAAATATTTCGATGACCGCCTATGAGACCCATGAAAGCTATGCGATTCCGTCTCAAGCCATTCCGCCCATTGCGCAAGATGGTAGAACGGCCATAGATTTGCCCACTTGGTGTCATACAGTGACACACAGAGCCTTCAAGCTTGTCCCTTTCGACATAGATTCGGCTGGCGTCGTTCCAATCTCATCGCTTAGCACGGGTAGCCAGAGCTGCACTGGGTGGCGGTGCAGCAGGTTTGCTTTCCGTTCTTGCAAGCAGTGCACCAATACGCGCGAGCCTCCAACTGTTCACCTCTGAAGGTCAACGCAGGAGCTTCGGCTTCGGCGATTGGGGTGGCCGAGACACAAGCAGCTGCCAGAGCAGTGATAATGAATGCGGTGAACTTCATTGTGGCTGGAATTGGTTGAGAAGTCGAGTGTGCAAAGGTTTGTGCTGGTCTCGTTAGTCTTAAGTACACACCAGAGGCTTAGTTTGGGACGTTTCGATACTCACAGACCGAAGTTGGACAAGGTGATTAGAAAATCGATTGACTGGCTTTTTAGATACGAAAGATGAAAGCAGTTGAAGCGCGGGAAGAGTGAACATTTATAGTTTTTTTTCGCTGTTTTTATTGCGCTTTATGCTTCTAGGCCTTCTGGATTATATTCCACCTGCCATGGACATCTAGACTTCCTTCCTTCGACGTTAATGAAAGCCAGGCGCGCCAACCACGCTGTCCTGTTCAATCCAAATTCAAGTTCTGTCAAAAAATCCCGCGAATGGCATTCGATTTCTTGGCTTCTCGAGGATCAACAAGTTGCTCGCGGCTACGCGTTTGAATCCTTCTTGGACCTTGAAAAGTCCCAAGATCACCGACTGACAAGCGATGATAGACTTCGCGCCACAGCAGATGAAGGATTCTAATACCACCTACTTAGTCGCCCTTGTCAAATTCCCCGCATACGGCTCAGTCTGACAACTACTTGTATAAGTTAGGAGACAGGATCGGACATCTTGATTTGTGCGCTTCCTTAAACAGAAGCCTAGAACACGAGTCTTCGTATGCAGCTACCAATAAGCGATGATCCTTCGACATAGATATGTCCAAGTCAAGTTAGAGTGAGGAGCTTGACGACCCGCTCCAGTGCCTACTAAGTAAGTAGAAGTCGGATCATTCGGCATGCCGCACTACTCGGGCGCGGATAGTTCAGAGGCATTCCCCATGGGGAACTCGAGGTAAGCGATGTTGCAATTGTTGGCAATGACTCGGTCTTGATCTTTCAAAGCCCCTTCATGACTGCGGTTTGCTTAGAGCCCGAACATCTCAGGCTCAGGTAATCATTGACAGGAAACTTACCTAGGATTCGTGGTTTGGCTCTCATTGTGGTGCTTTACCTCCACATCACCCATACCAACAAAGAGTACTACCCTGTACCTCAGTCCGAAGAAACCTTTCTAGCCTATTTATGAGTAAATACTACCACATGGAGTCGCAGAGGTTATAATACGCTGTCGAGTCGATAAATCGCCTCTTGGTTCTGGTCAGATATTACTACCTTGTCCCACGTTGCGGGGGCCTATCTCCAGGAAGAGCATAGTAACGGAGAATTCGCCCTTCGTTGCAACGGGAAGCGGGGTGTGCTTCGACGCTTCCTCCGGCGTATCTTGGCCCGGTCCAGACCCTTCGCGTCGATACTCCAAAGAAACCGTCGCTCAATCCAGCACGTAAGAATCCTAAGGGCGCGTTACATCACATAGATACAGCTTTGCTACTACACATACAGCTTTGCTACTGCACGTTTGTCTTGATGGAATATGTCACGCAGTACGAAGACCCGGACGTCGATACCTACCAGCTCGCTTCTGCTTCAGACGCCTTTCTTAAATGACCCCAATCCTGTTCACTTTAACACGCATTTTGGAATTAATGGTATAAGTACTTGTTTCATGGGAATATTCCAACGACAGGAACTAATGTCTGGGTCCTAACCCTCTACATGGATTAAAAGCCAAAACGTTTCAAGAAAGCTCTAGCCGCTCCTGTTTTCTTTGGCTTGTCGGATTCATCTACGGACGCAGTTGGTCCAGGAACGGAAGCTTCAGGCAGAGCCCTGTTACTCTCTTCGTCGATACGAGAGTCTGGTTTGGGCACAGATCTCGGTTTTCTCGGCCCCATGACTACCGAAACTTGGGCCCGTTCAACATCCGAGAATGCAAGTCTATCCAATTCCACTTCCGTAAAGGTAGACTTAACGATGACCAGCCACCGGACCGAGTCTTCACTGCATTCTACCCTTGTATCTGGAAGTCCCAGGCACTGCTTTGCTCTACGCGCTGCATCTGAATTTGGGACAGTAAGACGATATTCCGTTACGCCGTCAACAGAGGTCGGCGATTGGATTTCTTGTACTTGGAGGCCGTCAACGGTAATCTGCCAGACTGTCCGATCTCCCATCAACCTCTCCGCTGCCTTCGCTGTGACGCTTTTATGGCCATTAAGAAACCTGACTTGAGATTCGCAGTGTCTTTCTGAATCGTAGCTGAGGAGGAATTTCCCGCCTTTGCCGGGCGACTTGTGGCTCTCAAACACTACTTTGACTGGAGACCATCTTGATTCAAGGAATCCCATTCTTCTTCGGCCTGGGTGAGAATTAGCTTTGGAAGCTTTGGTTGTTCATCACAACCTCGGTTATTGACAGCTGTCAATACCAACCTACTAGGACAAGTTGCGATGCGGATGATTTCGGTTCAGGCTTCAAGGGTCATGTAACACAGAGCCCTATGGGAATCATCAAACATTGAAGATCTTTTGATAACTGAGGTAGAGTTGATGTCCTGGCAGAACGAGAAGGAACCCGCGGTAAATCACATCAGACCCTTAACTTTCAAGGTGGCGGAGCATGTTCAATTAAAGTGCTTCAGCCGCCGCGGCACATGACAATCTATGGGCGAGGCGACAATTTCATGAGCTACGGCTGAGGATTTAGGAACGTGGCAAAAGCAAAACACCACACTAAGACTCAGCTTGACTTGATAGTGGGCGATCATTGCGTTGGAGGTTTCAAACCGTCGTTGCTGGTCTCTGCTAGCTTTTGAATCCATGTGCCTATCAGAGGCGCGGGATGCTCCCTTTTCCCTACTAAATCGCTTTTATGCTAGTTCTCATTAACACAAAACCGCCCTATCCTGAGCTTCGAGGTCACCCAGGACCCTGTTTAATGTTGTGATCGAGGCACGTAGTATGATCTTGCACTGACACCAATGCATGCCTACTGCCGGAATGCAAACTCAGCTTCTGAATGGTTTGACATGGCGTTTGCTGCACTCACCGTGAATGGTGTAGGTTTTTCTCCAGCCGTGCAAACATCTGAGGCACGCGTGTTGGATGATCAGAGGCTAGATTCAACACTACGGCAGTTAGTCCTCGCCATGGCGTTTTGTGGCGCTTTATCAACACCGGTGTCACCACGAAGATCCTACGGGCATCTCAGCTTCAAGAGCTAAAGTACACACCCGCTGCGAGCGACGTCTCCTTAAACCACAAGGGATCCTCAAACCTTGGTCTATACTCCCATGAGGGCGAGGTTTGTGGCAATGTGGAAGTAAACAAGCACTTTTCTAAAAGTTGAGACTAAGAAGCAGCTTGCTAGTTCTTTCATCGTTTGGAGCCCCCCCCCCCCCCCCTTTGAGTTGTTCGTTATTGTCACGTCAAGTTCCTGCAAGCTCAACTCTATCTTTGGAAGGCTTCGTGCGATCCCTACATGTAGCCTTGAGGTTCCAGGAGGGATTCTTTGCCAAAACAGCATAGGGTCTAGCAGGCTTCCTCCAGAGTCGAGCGATCATGCAGCCACCGATAGCCCAGGGCAATACGCCAATCACGCGGAACGAAGAGGCCAAAGATATCCAAGACGCAATCAACACTATCTTAGAAGCCGCGCAAAAAACACATGAGCCGTCTGAGAAGATGCCCGATAGTCCCATTAATGCTCCGCGGCTCTCAAGAGACGACATGGACGAGACTGAGCTTAACAGCGAATTTGCATGGGACATTGCTACCAAACTCCACGCAAAGAATTTCGTAAGGCTGGTGTCTAGGAAGCCGCCAGTCTTGCATACCATTTACCGTCTGCTCAACAAATTGCAAATGGGTGATTGGGGGTACCGCGTCAATATTGCCGAGATGCAGCGTATGCATCTACGAGCTCTGCAAGTCGGCCTCGTTGATAAGGCAGTCGAGATGCAAGTCCGGGGTAATGCAATGGGACCAGAAGCCATCGCAAAGGATGGCAAACTCCTAGCAAGTCTGCTTAGAGAATACAGTAAGCAATCTAGAGAAAGCGCTCCGTCCATCCCGCGTTCAGCCTTCATCAGATCAGGGGCGCGGACTTCGGTACATTACTAACAAATAGAAGCTCAAGCTGTACAAGACTATGAGTACATGACCAAAGTCTCTCAGCAACCATTCGACTTCTTCGTCGCGTCGAGTGAACGCTACCAAGATAGCTACGTTCTCGACAAGGTGATGCGAAAGAACAGGGTAGGAGCTAGAGACTTCGCCGATCCGCCGCGAATGACATACGAGTCCATGAAGCTCCATGCTCTGCCGACTGGGCCCTGGGGTAGTGAAGAGAACCCCGAGCCTCTTGGCGGGACAAGGAACGCATCGGCTAAGGCAGTGCTTCGTCGCAACTTTTGGTGGAAGATTATGGGCGCAGTGGTTGGAGGGGCTTTCCTTGTCGGCCCTATGTGGCTGCTAGTACTTCAACGAGACTTGTATCTTAACCTCGGAGTTGCTACGGCGTTTACTTTTGCTTTTGGATTTCTCATTGTTGGGTGTGTTGATCAACTGGATCAAGTCTTCGCGTCTACTCTTGCATATGCTGCGGTTTTGATGGTGTTCGTCGGAGTTATGTTTGACAAGCAGTTTCCTGAAGGAGCATGAGCAGAGATTCCGATGAATCATTGGTGGCCGAAAGATGGCATTGCTCAGAATTTCTAAAACAATCGAGAATGTCTAGTGTCAAGGCAAGATCTCCAGGGGTAACGAAACACTGAATCGTGCCCCAAAGCAAGACTCACTCGCAATGAATACACGGTAAGGTGGCCAACGGACCCCACGAAATCCGCTGGCTCAAGGCATTTGGTCGCATTTGCATATCAACGAAACGGGGATGATCAGCGATTCAAGAAACTGGGTGAGCCCCACGAAAGTGGACCGACCGAGGACTCATCCGGTTTTCACGAAGACTCCTTGAATTGTTTTTTGCCTTCATGAGCGGCTGAAATACACTGCTTCCAGATGTAATTCACTCTGAGATTCATCTTCATATGCTAGCAAAATGTGTGAAAGCTTCCTGTCCCCTCCAAGTGACCACCTTCTGGAAGACCACCACTTGAGTCGTCTCATTCGGCGTTCCCATTGAACTCAACTTTACCCCTGACTGTATCTTGTTCTACAGACAGTATGGCACACCGTGAGTCTTGTGGAGCTTGCTGCAAGCTGTGAGCCCAAGTAAGCAGTGATCTCATACTGGCGATCCCGGGACGATTGTTCACAAATTTTCTGCAGCCTGCGTCGATGGGGGTTTTTGTTCAAGATTTGGGGGGAGAATTGCGAACGAAAAGATTCTTATCACATGACAGTTAAGCCGGGTGAAATGCCTCTCGTTTCGAAGAGCTCATGGCCCCTCTGGGCTCTAGAAATGTTGCTTCACAATACCTTAAGGCAGTGTTCAGGTAGCTCGGCGGATACGAGGTCCAATTACCAACAAGTTGGAATAGCAAACGCTTGGATGAATACACAAGTGAAGTAGCAGGGAAGTGCGTTGATTACGGACCGTGGGAAGAAATCAGGCCAGTTGTTGACGAAGAACAGGTTTCTGGTGTCGATTCCTTGCTCGGGTATCCCCACGGATGCCAAGTTCCCGAGGCTGCTTCGATCGACGAATCAAGTTATCTGGATTCAAACAGCCCTTGATCTTTTCTGAAGAAGAGACAGGGCTTCCCGAATCTTGTAACACTGTGTTCAGGGTGCTTCCTTCCATGATGTGCAGTGATCTGCCGCAACCCCTAATTGGGCAGTCAACCGTGGCTCGGATTGTTGATGCCTAAGAACATCGAACATGAACGTACATGAACGTCAACCAATATTGGTTTCCAGCGAAAGAACAAATGTGTCGAAACAATACATTTGAGTTCATGGCTTCGGGTGATTCATGCTGCATACCACCAGTGTTTCCGGCAGAGACAGTCTTTTAACCCATTCAGTCAAGGCAGTATCATTGAGATATTCCAAACAGGCAATATCTACCGTTGCCATAGCTGGGCTCGCAGGGCATACGGGTGAATGCCATCGAAAACAGGGCGAAGACACAACATAAAGTCGGGCATAATGTTACGTTAACAACCTGGTATTTGCTGAGTCTTTCTTGTTCTCGAGACGGCCCTTCAACAGATCGCAACCTACTTTCCAACATGGCTATGGCTATGACGTATACAGCGCTCCCATCCAAACTGCCCACATTCTCAGCCACAGGACCTGCTCCACCACAGTCAGTGGGCACGATTGACACCCTTAGTAACTGGGCTCGGGGTTGTATGATATTACTGCGTATAATGACTTGATCCAATGGTGAAATGTAATTCCCATCTCTGATAACGAAAGTCACACGAACAAGTTTCCGTAACTGGGTCGTGTGTCTCACACCGCACTGGTTTTCTCTTCCAACTCCGGCCAAAGTGGCTTGCGTTGGTGGCTCAGCCCGCTTATTTCCTTTGTGGGACACTTGCCAGCATTAATTCTGGCGCCGCGACTAGGGACAGTTGGCAACTTGTCATGGGCGTCACCACATGCAAGTCCGAGATGCTCTTTCACATAGGAAATTCTGCTCCGGCCTAGACGCGTCTAATGTCTGACGCTTTGTGAAAGTCCTGTCGTACAAGGGCGCCAAAATCGGAGTACGCAGTTCTTCTTGACTCTGGATGTGGATGGTGAGGCGGGACGGGGCTGGCTCCGTTGGCCCGTGAGCGAGCCGTCGTCCAGGGGTTCAATAAACCTGCAGCTGATGGTGAGGAGATCCGATCTAGCCGGGACCCTGCCGAACAAGCGTCGGAGCTGTTCTTCCTACTGCGCGGCGGCCTCCAGGAGGAAATGGTCCGCTGTCCAACTAATTGTCCTGGCCACAAACAGCAGAAGGAGAGACATCACCACTCACGGCTGATGTTGGCTCCATGGCTTTTTCAGCTTCTTTTTTAGCTGCTTGAATGCCATGTTGTGATGATTGTTATCTACCAATATCCAGCTCCCGAGGTATGGGTACGCCCGACAGACTGAACACAATGTATGGTTGTGTTGAATAGAAGAGTGGTGACGTGAGCATGACGATGACATCGTGGCCGTCACATGGCCCCTTGCTCATTAACAACAGTGAAATCTCAATAACCCCCGCTTGTTCTTTGAGAGCTGCCAGGCATTGACTGTCGTGGTTGTCGTGGCTCCGCAAGAAAGTGAGCAAAGTCGCGCTCTCCGGGCTGCTCTTCTGAAGCGACTGGTCTTTAGCATGACAATTAGCATTGGCCAGTGTGGCTTCGCCATCCTTCATGTGCCCGGGGAAAGAGGGGTCCAAGGCACCAGAATCGAAAATAAGGGTCACTGATTGGATACATGGGACGAATACAGCCACATTTAAGGTATTACGGCGATCATTCCAACGGTTTAAGGACTTAAGGGCCCGAGGGAAGATAGCAATGGACCCTGACAGTAATTGCCGGACACTTGACAGGCCAGATTTCCAGGGCGAAGACGCGAGAAAGAGAGACAAGAGGGCGGGAACGCAAACGAAGACCAGACCTGAAGGAGGGGGAACGACGCCAGACGGCCTGGTTTTCCCCCTTCACCTGAGGGTCCCCGCGTGACACTAGACAGGGAACATGCATGCGATTATTGGGCGCTGCTCACCACCCCATCCTTTCCAGCGCCGGATCAGGTTTTTCTGAGGTCCCTGGAGACTGGAAAGTTGGACAAGGTTTCAATCTGGCAGTGGAGTGATCATTGAAAAGGGTGAGGCCGGGGCGGGCTGGGTCTCAAGTCAAGTAGCACACACACGGGCAGTCCGCAGCCACGGGGTTTTGCGGGAAAAGGAGATCTGCATTTATAAATACCTTATCCAGGGACACTTTCTCATCGCGATCAGACTTGAGTCGCACGCAGCCCTTAAACGGTTTAAACTTGCAGAATAAACTTCCCAAGATGTCTTCGCAGATCCCCCGTCCCGCTTCGACTACCACGAACTCGTCGACCTCGACTTCGTCTACCTCGACTACCCGGCAGTTCTCGGGCAGCATGGACGCTTACACCCTCTCCATGTACGAGCATACGCAGCGGCTTATGGCTGCGGCACAGATCCCGTACACCAGCCCCCTCAGCATCACGTCTCCCGGCGAGCGAACGCCCTCCGGAACCAGCTCCGTGGTTGTGAGGAACGGTGTCCCGCAACTTCAGTCCGGCAGCCTTCCTGCTTTCGGTTCGAGCTGAGTGGTCACGCATTCAATTTAAAGCCGGAAGACGCTGGACACTGCGATCTCGCTTCTGCGAGCCGAGGTAAGCGACAGTTCTGGGATGGCCTCCGAAAACGCCGCAACTAAAGCCTCGTTGTTCATCGTCACTGACTTCCTGTTGCTAGACCTTGAAAATGCGCATTCCCTTATTCTTTGGTCGATCCTAGCCGAAGCCCAAGCAACTGACGAAGTCACGATCATACCACGGTCCCTTCCCGAACGCTTTACGAAGATCATCTGCTCCTCGCCATACCTTTGATGCGACGTTTTCTCTTTACTTCATTTCCTATCGCGAAGTTCATCCGATCGACCCTGATCTCGAACCCGCAAGACCGCCTACACTTCCCACAGCGATCATCCTGCACAAATTGTCGCCAGAGACAGCTGCTCTCGCCAACGGCGGGATGTTCAATTGTAGTGGAACCGATTTCTGCTTCTGGGTTCGCTGTACCTCGAAAGAGGTCTTCGTGCCTAAAGCTGTCATCCCACGCGGGATAGTTGTTGCGCAAGAAGCGGGAAGCTCCGGCCGATCCGTGATGGAAACTTCATGTTGTCTCTTACAGCGTGATAATGTCTAATGCGTGCCTAGGCATGGGCCGCTTCTTCAGACGCTATTTTTTCTTTGGGCCGGAACATTGCGATGTTATGATGGAGTTTTGCTCTTTACGAAAGGAGGAAGCAGTCTGACGCAAACGTAACTAGACAGGGCTTTGCCTGATCGTCTATGATACCCCTATGAAATTCAATGAGCATACTCGTCTTCTTTCTGAAACCTTGAAGCAAATCTCCTCTACTAGTGATGTCGAACTATCGTGCCGCTAATAACAAGCCATCAAGATAGACTCTACCTATCACCAGCACTGCCCTTCTAACAGGTCCGCTTCATACTCCTAGATCTGTCTGGCACTGTCAGCATACTATCAGCACTGCACAATACCCCATTGGCCAAAAGCCTCACGAACCTGATAAACTTCGGCAAGGTCGATGGAATCTGAGTGACGATATCTAGCTCTCTTCTCTATAATACCCATACATCGGCTTGTCATTGCCCTGCAATCTCAACGAAGTGCCCTGCTTCTTCATTGTGACTCGGCTCCTTTGAAGCAGGCCTGCCATCATGGCAGAAACTTCGAGGCCTGTCAGCGATACGGCCCTTGTTCCTCGAAGCTTCGGCCGACAAGCTCCAAACTTTTATCCATAGCTGCCTCGGCCCCTTGGGGTATCCCTCGTGTATAATCCTTTAATCCTTCAATCTTATGTTTACTGGATGTAAACTCTACTGGAGCCAGCCTTCCGCTTTCAATCTTTTGAGTCACAACTGCTTGAATTCCATGAAAGCCTTCTGTCCTTGGCCCCCTCATCGAATCATCCCCAATGTCCCAAGTCTTTTGATATACCTCTTGATAGCCATCCAACCACTTGATCCTTTTTTTTCTCAGATGTCAGCTTTTTGGGACGATTCCTCCCTGACAAGGGCGATGGACAAACGGATGAACCTCATCTCCGCATGTCGATTCACCCGGTCATTGGTTTCGTCCTATGAAGAGACGATGCTTAGGCAGCCACAAGGGACGAGGGGCGTGGTGCCAACTGCCCGGCCGGATGAAAACCACACCCAGTGAATCAAGTGCTGTCCCGGGTGAAAAGAATGATCCAAACAACTGGAGGCCTTTGATCTCTCCTACAAGTGCAACTTTCTTTCTTGGTTGTCAAAAGCTCGCCTTTCCTTCCACCTTCTACCACCCATCTCAAGGACCTTCTCTGCTCATCCAACAGTCTGTCGGCAACCTCAAGTACAACATATCAGAGCAGCGTCATCGGAACTCTCAAGATGAGCTACCGTCCAGTGAGTGAGATATACTTCAAGTGATGACTTGAGGCTAAATTTCATCGATACAGATCCCAGACCTGTTCACCATCGTTGACGGTCAATTTCATCATATAACGCTGCACTGGCAGTTTGATCTAGCCAGGAGGTCAGGCGACCAAATCTGTTACTGGAATGAAATCATCGGGCAGCTTTTCGTCTACGGTCTACCCGGAGAGTTCCCCTACGAACCTGCGGTCGCCCGCGGTCCGGTGAGAATCTTCATCGACGTCACCAACCGCCCAGCCGTCCTCCCGCCCGGCTTCTGGGCCACTGAGAGGGTCCTCATTGGCCCTTCTTGGGGTCTGCCGGGCTGGCACCCCTGGTTTCCGACAGACCCTCTGTTCCTGAGCACCGAGAGATCTCTTGGAGGACGTCCTGGGACAGTGGGCGACCTGCGCTGGTGCGGTACCTGCGGCAAGTGGCTCTTGGCCCCTTACTTCTTCGACCACGATGGTGCCCGCGCGAATTCGCGCACCTGCAACCGGTGTGTTATGCGCCGAGACCTCCGTTCTCGGGCGTACAATACGAGGGACGCCTGGCTTGTGGCCAAGCAGCCGACGATGATGTGGCTTCGCCCCGGCGAAGCGGGCTACGACCACTAGCCCGAGCCCGGAGCCCCCGGCCGGGTATGAGGCCGGGGGGCAGGGCGGCGGAAGGATCTGTAAGTCATCTCACTCGTGCCTCTTCACTTTGATCCCTTGCGTCATCCACTTGGTCGATCTGGTAAGCCAGATGATGCCCAACGTCGCAACTCGGGACGAAGGCAGACAATGCTGGACCACGGATCGAACTGTCGACCCAAGATCTGAACAGCCATCTCAAATGTTCCGATAACACTGCGCGGGTGGAGTCCCAGCCATCCCTGAATCTTTTGAGGGACGAGACGAGACGAAAGAGCTGCTGTCACTGGACGGCGTCAACTCCAGACTGAAGGGGCCAGGGGCTTCCCTGGCTGTCCGGGTTCGTTCGTCTGGGCTTGCCGACTGCCGCAGATGCTTTGCAACTGGCTTCTTCCCTCATCTCAGGTTTCATCAGAGTTCAAGAGACTGACTTTCGATTAAGCAGATATCCTTCCGCGGGGTGACGACGGTACAGATCGAGAGATAACCGATGAAAAGCCAAAAAAACATCAAAAGAAATAAATCCACAAAAAAAAGGAGGGAAGAAAAGAGAGGTAGGCCAATTTTCATCCTTCTATCCTACCTCACCACTACCAGGGCGTAGCTCGCCCATCCTTTCACCTTCACGATTTACACATCTCATATGAGCCTTATCAACGTTGGGCATCAGCTGGAAACACACCGTCCCTTTTTCAGCTCATTTTCCCCTGGTCTTTTGGCTTGATTATGAGTTTCTGCCCCTCAATCGACAGTGGAGATTTTGGGAGAAACAAAGTCGAGACATGCAGGAACCGTTGCTGACCTGTTGGCGCTAGAATTAAGCGAGGCCCAAAACAGTGTGGAAGGGACTCATTACGTCAGCAGCCGAAGATGCTGCGATGGCTGCAATTGGCCGGGGAAGCAGGCGCCGGGAACGTCGTTCCTCGTGCCGGGAAATTGGGCAAATCGGTCATCCTTGTCGATCCCAAGAATTCACCCCCCTGCTCGTTATTGTCTGTTCTCTTGCAGATTTCCGATTCATCACTCTCGCCTGACAAGGCCCCAGGTCCAGAGGGTCCATCCAATGTCCGTTGCGACGGGAGAGGGGACATTGTGGTAGGTTTGCGGCTTGCCATTGTTTGCTTCCTCTTCTTTCTCTGTCTTCTCGGTTGTGTGTGCGCGCAAACTACAAACGCGATTCGAAAAGCTGACTCAAACTCGACCATCTACAGCTGCTACTCGAACGTGAATCTGCCCGTTTGGCACACGAGAAACCGCGACGTTGCGTCATCCCAACTTGAAATTACCTTCGTTAGTTCCCGACCCGTTTAGGAGCAAACGGAGCAGCTTCCCACGCGCCAAAGTAACGCTAGACCATTGCCGACCGTCAGTGCGCAAACTTCGATATTTCCACAGGAATTATTCCCCCAAACTTCTTCTTATTCCACGCTCCAGAGCGTTCAGGAAGCACCTTTCCGACCTTATCCATGCTCTCAGAGCTGTAGAACACATACCATATCCGCCAGAATGGACGAGAAGCAGGCACCCGGGAGGCCTAGTGGGATTCCTCGCATGTCCCGTCTGCCTCTTCCAAGAACAGCAGCTCCAGCTCCAGCTCCAGCTCCCGCTGTTCGACCATCTCCATCGCGAGAAGGCCTAAACTCGAGTATACGGAATCCTCGCCTCCGCCCAGCTGCTTCACGAGACCAATTGGCCTCAGCTGCTGCTCTCAAGCAAACGGAGCCTCGCAGCCTTCCTACGAGACCGAAACGCGAAATTCAGCCTCCAACCACGAGAAAGACAGAACTGAGAGCTCCCGCTGCTACGCTGAGATCTTCCCGAAGCGTGCCTCGACTGCAACCAAAAGAATCGACGATCCAGAAACCCCCTACACCCCCAGAAGAACCCCAACGATCATTCACTCCTCGCTCGACAAGCGTTACGCGAAGCCCGTCCGAGGACAATGTCGCTACCCCAAGCTCAAATCGTCTGGGCGATCCGATTTCCCTGACCAAAGACACGAGCAGCCCACAAGTCGCCGATGATGATGCCGAGCCTGATCTTCCAGACTTTGACACGCTGAGAACGACACCATTCAGACCTCGTCCGTCCCTTTCCGAACGAACCATCGAGACCCTTCAGCAACTACAATCTTCCCCTTCTCTAAGCAAGAAGACGTCCACATTCTTCGACCCAGATGGCACTATGCGGCCCCGCTCACGCGCCGGCAGCGGCCACTCGAGACCTGGCTCAAGCTACACCTCCGATGGCTCCGTGCGGCCCACGTCCCGGCACAGCAGACCAGGTTCGAGCTCTGGTGCTGAAGAGAACCCATTTGCTAATGCTCGACCGGCTGCGAACGCGTACCGACCTCTTGGCGCCATTGAGGGCACCCCGGCTCGCCGTGTATCTAGCATCCGTTCCCTACGAGCACCATCACTGAGAGCTACACCCCAGTCGTCACCTTCTGGACCGTCGACTACTTCGGCGATACCAGTCACCCAAAGTCCCAGCCCAACAAGACCAACTGGCATCATGGCACCACCACCCAAAGCTGGAGCAAAGACGCTTGCTGTTCGCCCTTTAAAGCCCCGCGCCTCGGTCCAAGGACTCTACAAGAAGCCTTCCCTGCCAACAATGACCCAGCCAGCTCCAGCGGCGTCTGTTGCTTCGCCGCAGCCCAAAAAATTGACGCCGTCCAAGTCTTATGGATCTCTACGAAGGCCTGGACCGTCGAAGATTGGTGCTCCACCTCCTGCTACTTCAAAGGATGCTGAAGAATCTGGAGAAAATCCTGCGGCAAAGTCCTCCAACGCTCTGCGAGAACAAATTGCCAAGGCCCGGGCAGCCAAGCGCGCTGCAGACCGACAAGCTGCGGAGGCAACGTCAGCTCCAAGCGCAGCGCCGGTTGCGGACTCTTCTGCGCCAGTCCAGCCTGAGCCACCCATCATCCCACAGGACGACGGGTTCGACTTTGGCATCGCTGTCACGCAAGACCCTTTCAACACCAGGAGATCGGAGAACTCTCATAAGAAGGTTATTCAGCAGCGGCTCGGCACTGCCCGCAGCAGTGGCAGACTCAACATCGCGGCCATGGGCCTCAAGGAGATCCCGGTCGAGGTTCTCAAGATGTACGATTCAGAGTCCATGGGCACTTACGATGGCTCATGGGCTGAGACTGTCGATCTGACTCGCTTCGTAGCTGCGGATAACGAGCTGGAGACTATCGGTGACTCCATCTTCCCAGATGTCACAGCAGAGGAGATGGCACAGGATGAGGACTCGAACGGCAACATCTTTGGCGGCTTAGAGGCGATGGACTTGCACGGCAATTCGCTAATCTCTTTGCCAATGGGATTGAGACAGCTTCCTCTGCTCACATCGCTCAACTTGGTAAGCCTACACATGCGACCCTGAGTGTCAACTTTGACTAATAAAAGCAGTCGCAAAATCGCCTCGCAAATAACTGCCTCGAAGTCATCACCCAGGTCAAGGCCCTCCGAGACTTGAAGCTCGCCAATAATCTTCTCTACGGACCCCTCGATCCCATCTTCTCGAACCTCGAGAACCTCGAGATCTTCGACCTTCACGGAAACAATGTATCATCGCTTCCTCCTGGCATCGAAAGTCTATCGAGGCTGCGCGTTCTTAACTTGAGCGAGAACAGCTTCGAATCCCTGCCTTTTGCGAGTCTGTCCAAGCTCCCACTGACGGAACTGCTGGTGAAGAAGAACAAGCTCACGGGAACGCTGATTGAAGATGGGGCCGAGTCCCTCCCAACCCTTCAGATGCTCGACCTATCCTGCAACCAGTTGACACGCTTGGTACCTTCAGGATCAGTCATCAACCTGCCTGTCGTCCATCAACTCATCATCTCGATGAACCGCATACAAGAGCTACCCGATGTCAGCTCTTGGTGCAGCCTCATGACCCTGAACGCCGACGAGAACGCCATTTCCGAGTTTCCCAATGGTTTCACCGCTCTTGAGAAGCTTAGGCATGTTGACTTTTCTGCCAATGACATTCGCGTGGTACCACCCGAGATTAGCAGGATGGATAACTTGACCATGATTCGGCTCGCTGGCAACCCGTTGCGCGACAAGAAGTTTGTTTCTGCCACCACAGAAGAGTTGAAGGAAGTCCTCGCCGGCAGGCTAGAGCCGCCTCCGCCCTTCAAGGAGGAGGATACCGCTGTACCCGACGAGGCACACCTCGACGAACCCCATAGCATCCAACCAGACACTACTCCCGCACCTACAGTCGAAGCTACAGTTCGCGATAACCACTCGGACGAGGACGACTTCGCTACCCCTCCCACCTCTTCGCCGACATCACCGGCACGAGCGCGTTCGCAGACGCTAGCCAATGAGACATGGCCTGTCAAGCAAGGTGTTCTGGACCGATCAAATACCAAATCAGCTTCGTTGCATCCTGTGGTGTGTTCCAAGGTCGCGGCCGACAACAAGGTCATTGAGATCCAGTTGCATCACAACCTTTTCACCTGCTTCCCGAATTCACTGTCTTTCTTCGCCGATTCTCTTGCCGCCCTGTCTCTTGCGCATAACCAACTGGTCGGCGAATCTTATTTGACAGAGGAGCTTGACTTGCCGGCCCTGCGTGAGCTGAACCTCGTCAGCAACCACATCACCAGCCTTTCGCCGTTGACCACGCACTTGGTTGCCCCGCAGCTAGAAAAGATGGACGTTTCGTTGAATCGCATCACTGCCCTTCCGCCTGACTTGCGCTCAGTTTTCCCCAGGCTCGTCGTCCTTTTGGCGGCAAACAACCACTTGATCGAGCTCGACCCAGACACCATTAAGGGCATGGAGGTTGTCGATGCTGGTAATAACGACATTGCACACTTGAACCCGAGACTTGGCCTTCTAGGTGGCACTGGCGGGCTCAAGCGTCTAGAGGTCGCTGGCAATCGCTTCAGAGTTCCTAGGTGGAATGTTCTTGAACGGGGTACGGACGCTACCCTGCGGTGGCTGAGAGGGCGGGTGCCAGTAGCGGAGATGGCATCGTGGAAGGTCAGCGAGGGTGACACTGGCAACACTTCCGACACCAGCCTCGATGATGTAGATTAGGGGCACTGGCTGGAAAGGTGTAGCATCACTACAAGGGGTTATGGGGGAGGGTTTCTCGGTTCCGGGTTCAATTTTGGGGGCTGCTTTGGGGGCTTTTGGGGGCTGTCGTTTCGATTCACGGACATACTTTTTTCTTACTCGTGGCATCACGATGTCATGTTGAGCTTTCCATGGAGTTGAGGGGAAATCTTTGCGATCACCATCGCCTGATATCCTGTACCAGTACTGTATAATACTATAGACATAATATGGGACGGTGGCATTCCGTCCCAGCAAGGTTTCTGTTTCCAACGGTCTCTTGATGTCTGTTTCGTATTGAGTTTTCACAATGCGTTGGTAGCGTATGTTGCTATAGAGGTCCTCGAGATTGTCCTGAAGTCTTTCTCCGATCCTTTCTTCGTGGGATATTAAACATCGCATCCAAATCCTCGATATGATGGTCTTCTACTCTTCAGTTCAGCATCCCACATCCATCAGACGTAGCTTCGCTCTATTAGCAGCCAGCAGCAAGAAAATTTCTTTCGCCTGACTTCTCTAATCAGTACTTACAAAGTATAACCCGTCACAATCTCACACAATGGCAACTGCAATGGCTTCAATCCGGGCGGCTACGTCCCGTCCCATCAAGAACGTCAACTCCTTCTACACTGACTACCTCCACATCGTCGAAGCCTCCGACGAACAATCTGGCCGCGAGATGAACTACGACGAGGAAAAGCAGCTGCCCTCGCCACCCCAGGGAGCCACCACCGACGAGGATTCTGAACCCCTCACCTGCTTCGATGCCACAGCCATCGTCCTCGTCGTAATCTGGGCCGTCGTCTTGGTCACCTTCGGCGCCTACACCTTGTGTAACATCGTCCGCGAGCCCTCGGAGCAATACGTCTTGGACCCCGAGGTCTTCAACACCATCGCGGCGGCGGTGTATCTCCTCCACGGTGCTCTCTACTTCATTTATTCAACCTATGTCGGCATGATCTTTGTAGGACAGATGGAGGGAAAGGACAAGACTGAGAGCGCTGCCGAGGCGTATGCCGCTGCACAGACGTTCTCAGATGATGATTCCGGCGGCTGGTGGTGGGAGCCGTGTCTTTCCGCTGAGGCCATCGACAAACTCATCCGCATTCAGATCGCCGTCTTCATCGTCGCTTTCTGGCCTGTCTTTGTGGTGTACAACTTTGCGGCCGTCGTCTGCCATGACTTCAAGAGCCTCACAACTACTAGAGGCGTTGATCAGGAAATTGCTCCCCGTGCCGTCTACTCTGCTGGCAACCGCGCTCAGGAGAATCAATGTAAGGGGAACTCTGAGATTTCTGAGAAGAAGCCGTTGCTCGGACAGAGGCTGACTGCGTCAGAGATCGTGGCGATTGAGAATGAGGCGGCGGCGGCTGAGGTGTGGAGGATGTATAAGGCTAGGATGGTTGAGCAGAAGCCGTATGCTCCTACTGTCTCGCAGTAGGGGTTGGACTCTTCATGTCTGGCTAAGGGGTTGCTAATGGCATCGTGGTTACATCATCTAGTGACCATGAGCAAGTTAACTATATTCATTATCGAGAGTTGCAAGTGTAGTGAATTGAAAGTCATTGAAATAGTATTTTCGTTGTTGTCAGCGCTGTGATATATCTTCAGTCCATGCAGGCATTTATGGCCCAGCTTGAACTCGAACTGGATATCATAAGTTGCCCATCGTGAGATCCTTTCATGACTCACATCAATCGAATCGTGTCAGAACAGCCTGCAGTATCAGCGTATAGTCTCAAGCATTCTGACGAGCATGGCCAACCATTAAGAGCCTTCCTCTTCTTCAAATTTCCTTCGGGAGAGATTTGACATTGCTCGTTCCAGTCCTCTTCACGTTACCTCCCAGCCCCCCTTCTCCACGCCATTGATTACCTACCGTCTGCATAGCCTTGCCAGGTGCACGAAGAAATCTCTTCCACACTCTGACACATCTGTTGTGTACACCTTTGGGGCTTACTGTCAACTGACCTGGCCGGACTTCACGAGGGGAGAGAGACAGAATTCCCCTTACACGATCCAGCACCACCGCCGTCATTGCCTCAAAAGACGCTAAATTCCTGTTCCTGAAAGTTCACTCAAAAGTAGTGAACTTTCCAGGCGAGTCATATCAAGGTTGCGGCTCCCGCCATATGCCATACAAAGCGGATGTTGACCACAGAGGTATAATCTAACTTCACGACACCAACGGATAGACTACCTATCTCCGATTAAACCATGAGCCCTGACCCTAGGTCGTTGGAACGCAATCGTAGATAGACATGTTCTACCCTATATGAACCCTTCTCGTTTGTCCCAGCCTGGCCAGCATTGTGCTTGAACACCTCGTTCTCGACATCACTCCTCGCCACTAAACTCTCTCTTGCGATTATCTCACTAGGAGTACAAAACAAACCACACCCAGTCACTAAGACCTGAAGTTACCACAACCACATTCATCAAACAACACAAGTATTCCTTCCTCAGCCTAACAAAGATGACTCCTACTACTTCCGCCCCTGTTGCCGGCCTCAGCGCCGGCATCCAGGACGACGATTGCAACTTCCGGAACACCATAATCATAGCGGCGGCATGTGTGATCTACACTATTTCGGCCCTTGTCTTCTACGCCTTCCTCAATAGGTGCCGTTTCTTCCCTAGATGGTACGAGAGCTCCGATAAAAGACTGCAACACAAGGTCTTGCTGCTCTTGTGGCTTCCTGCTACCTTGATCCTCTGGCCCCTGTCTCTCCTCTTGATCATATCCTCTAAATGCGGCTTCGACGTCGGCGACAGGTTGGCCATTCTCTATCGACGCATGAAGACGAACAGCAGAGCCCTGAGTCGTCACATCAGCGGAGAGCCAAGGGAAGGAATGGAGCTCGACAGATGGGAAGAGATCGAACTCGAAGAGGAGAATCATAACGTTCTCCGAAAGAATACCACCATGGGAGTATTCATCAACCCTTTCGACGAGAGAGGTCGTTCAAGTACCCGCAGCTCAAGTGGATCCAACAGTAGGGACTCGTCACCCACTGATTGTCGGACATCCCCTTCAACTACAGAGATATCACCAGTCAAGTGGTATGAGAGGCTTCCTTCACCTGCCGGAATGAAAGGAGCTCTCATTCAGGCGGGCTCCAGCAGCAACGGCGGTCCGTCGCCGGCGGATAGCACAAGGAGCGAAAGTCCCTATCCAGACGACGGCGATTCTCGGCAACTGACGACCACTCCCGCTGAGAGTGTGGACACAGTGTTGTCGGTTCCGAGCAGGAAGTTTAAGACGACACGAAAGTTGCAGACTATTCCTGAGCAGACCGCAAAGGTTGAAGGATGGGAATTGATGGCTCTCTAAGTGGATAGATTGCCACACGGCATGTACGACTGTTAGCTTGGGTTTCTGGTTTCGGAGACCGCTTGTGGGATGGAGGGAATCACCATGACATCGCGAGAGTTATTCAAGGTCATCCTCGGCTGCATAAACCTGTACCGAGACCCATGGGACTACTTTTAAGAACACGAATCATTGGCAAGCGCAAAGTCATCGCCATGAAGAATCATCAGGCGCTCGGAGTCATAGCACATTGCAGTAGATTCGCAAAATGGTTGGATAGTCCTATCGAACTCTAGATTACTCTCCGAAAGAAAAGGAGAGCCCTACTGAATAAACAACATATCAAAAAAGCCACCGGCTTCCAGCCAACGATTTTCGTGTATGGAGCAACTCATAACTTGAAGTCGTTCATAGACAGGCCCTGAATTAAGTTCCAGTAGACACATTAATTTGGTGATTTGCCACGCGCCTAACCCTCCAGGGACTTCGTAGCCACTGAGAGCAATGAACTTCATGACTTGAACCTCCGCCTGACATTCTCGCCAATTGGAGTCCAACCATATGTAGCCTAATGGTGTTTTTGCTACACAATCTCCATGGTCGTCATGATCATGTATATCGTATTGCCTGCTCTCTTGGTTCAAGGTAGAGTCTGAAGCGGATGGTGGCTGCGTCTGGATACATACAAGCTCAGACACCTGGACGGCGGTACTTTGCCTGCAAAGAGTTGGGAAGACAGCATATAGACTATCGCTATGTCTCGTTCGTTCTGCACACGCTGAAATCACGAGATGTGCTGAACTCGTGCACATCGGTATATCGGGGAAGGTGTGACCAATAATGAGTCCCCGATTGATACTGGCGGGAAAGCCAAAGGTCTCGTTGTGAGCACGAGGCTCCATCATTGGCTTGCGAAGCTTGTACGAAGGATGCGTATTTCGCGGAGTGAAGAAGCCTGGAGGGAGATCTGCTCCAAGAATCTGGCTCGTACGAGTTGTGCGAATGAGGCTCCTATCAAAGATGACTCCATCATCCCAGCCAAGCCAGGACCAACTAGGAAAGTTTGGGTTCCGAAGATGGGGATTATGTTTAGGCGTTTCCCAGCAGAAAGTTTGATCGAAAGCACATGTTGGTAAACCAAAGTGGAACATAGAGCTTTTGCCGTCCATCAGGCCTTCATGCCGGTGAAATACTCCCTGAAAAGCTGAAATCTTATCGTTTGCGTAGGTGAAGTTCCGCTTTGAGTAGAGTTCCACGGCAGAGAGAAAGTATTCTAGACTTTCCCCGTACGGAATGTTCAAAAGACCTCCCACTCTCTGTGATGGGCTGAGTGATGTTGATGGGAACTCTGGCTCCGGTAGCTGTACGCCTTCCAAGTCGTACAACGCTTCTTGACATTGGAAGAAAATTCCATTGGCGGTGAACAAGATAGCTCGATGAGACAACACTTGCTCTTGATAGCACCAGCCTCTCCTACTCCAAGCTGACGCTGCTAAGAGAGCCTCGAAGTCTTCGACAGAGCGGCAGCCTGGCAAAACTGCGCCCGCTCGTTTTGTCAACAAGCCCTCATGGGCATCTTTGGCAGATACTGCAACAATAGTAAATGTGGCTGCCGAATAGATGGACCGCATGCGTAAGATCTGAATCTTCCTATCACGGGCAGAGTCTTGCAAAATACATAGCGCATCTACCCATAGATAGGCTTCCCCAAGACGCTCACATACCATCATGGCATCTCGGACTGTCGTTGGGATTTGGCTCCATACCGACTCCAACCCTTGCGGTCGAGACAGCTCACGAATATTCGCAGACGTGAGCTTGACCTGATCCACGCTGCCCCAAACATATGACAGAACTGCAAAAGGCAAGTCATTAGGAGCATCCACGACACATTTTCGGCGGACATCAATGAGTCGAAACCGGATTCCGGGGAAATTGCGCCACCGTAGCGAGTCTGGGTAGCATTTCTGGTGTTCATAGCTTGTTGCGCAATGGGAAATTTTATCCCGAATGGCGTCAAATCGAACCATGGAAACTCCTGACATCGGACTAGCACGAATGCTACGCATCCCGGTCCTTAACTTTAGCCGGCTTTGTCTAATGGCCCGACTCTGGTTCTTGTTTTTGGAAGCCTTCTTAGGTGGGAGTTTCAGGCGTTTCTTTCTTAATTCTCGTTCAAATTCATCTTCATCGGAATCATCGGTCTCGTTATCCCAAGGGCAGTGAATGCATTCACTGGGCCAAAGACTCCGGTAAAGCTCACGGGCATTTTCCCAGGTATACTCGTTCCAAGAGCCGTTGGACCTTTGATTATCAGGGTGTCGTCGAGAAAAAGCTTCAAGTGTCTGGGACATACGAAATTTTGATATTTTTGGGGCAAAGAGCAAAGGCTCGGAGTAGGATGCAGGAGATAGTCAGGTCGTACGGTTTCCGATTCGTGTTTACCAGACCTGGCTCCTGCTCACAAAGAAAGAATGGCTCATGGCCCGCTTCGCCTAACCCATTGAAATTGATGCCCCTTTCCACGGTGCAAACGGGTGGCGAAGTAGCTTCCAAATCGTAATCAAGACAAGGCTCAGTCTCAATGAGACGAACGTCTGATGCTTCCATGATCAACAAAGAATCTTCGATGAATCGCGGCCATACTTTGCGCCATTGTGGACTATTCCAATCTTTGACGTTGTAGTAGTGAGAGTAGCTATCGCAACTTTGCATTAGTCTGGTCTTCCATGTCAAGATACATGTGGTTTACAGGAGCTTACCCCATCGTGTCTGTTGCATCGACACAGCGCAATCACACGACATGCTGTGGAATCGGTGGAAGCAAGTCAGACGATGTATATGGGACGGTGGAAATGTCACAATGTGGCAATGCTGCAATTAAATAGAACAAACGGTACTGCAAACCTACAGCAGGTTACAATCGGCGGCCGAGGGGCACAAAAAGTACTCTGCAGGACCACTGGAAAATGTAATAACTCCATTCTTAGTTAGACATGCTAATAATTGAACCAATGCAAAGCCCTCATTTGACGTGCATGCAAGGTAGGTAACCAAAGGAAGAATTGCACAGCATTCACGCAGACGTTCCATCATCAAGGCATGATTCCATTCGTTCAAATGCACAGAAATTGATCGCAGTCAAGATATATGACCTCAAAAAGCGAGGAGTCGCCATTGAGGTAACGAAAGGTTGTTATAAGCAAAAGACTTGCGTCGAGGGGGAATCGAACCCCCGGCTCCCCGACGCTGCTGGATGGCAACGGAGAATTTTACCACTAAACCATCGACGCTGGTTGTAAATCAGCCTCAGTCTAGCGGCTCTTGAAGCTCAGCGCGCCAGCCCGCGAGCCGGACTCGAACTTTTCGCGCAGAGAAGCAAGGCAGGGCTCGAGGCTCACGCGCAGAAGAGGAGCAGACACCCTCAACTGACGGCCGAGGGGACTGAAGTCGAAATACGTGCATGCAGGGTTGCGAAGCGGTGGTCGATATCAAGACCAGGGACGTCCGCAACATCACTGCCTCCAGGAATCATGCGAAGCTCGGGAGCAGGTCAAAGCCAGAGAAGTTGTAGATGCAATGTTCATGGTTGATTGGGGTTGGTATCTGCCTGTCCAAAACTCCGCGCACTCACAAAATCAGTTCAAATAGTTTGGAAAGTCCAAGCCGTCCACCTGGAACTCGTTCATCAGCGTGGTCCAGTCGGGGAAATCCTGCATCATGCCGGCCCAGTCCATCCCATCAGCGGCCGCCATGCTATCCAGCCCACTATCCACCATGCCCTCCGCTTCTGATCTATCATCAGTTCCACCCGGCGTAGGGTATGATTCCTTCTCGGCGCTATCGTTGGCAATCGCTCCGCCGACGACGACGGCGCCACCGCCGTTTTGCTGGCCAAGACCCTGTCGTATCGCCGTTGCCTTGGCTCTCAATGTTTCTAGAACCGTCATCTTCGCCGCGGGCCCGAAACCGGCGTTCACGCTCTTCAAAAGCATGAAGCTATCGTCCACAGCTTTCCACGCCCTATCGACACTCGGCCCCTCCGGCCTCACGCACAAGTGCCACAGGACGTAGAGAAGCATATGGTACTGGGGATACGCCCGCATAGACCACCGATACTGCCGCAGCAGCTCGTCCGACGCCAGGCTCATGCCATCCTCGAGAATACCGAGCGCCTGGAGAAGATTCTCCTCCGTCGCAAACGAGTCGCGCGCCTCTGGGTGCTGGAGGTTGAGCCACTGCTGGCGCGTGACCATGTCAACCTTGCGAATGATGAACCGTGCAACGAGAAGGGTCTGGCGTTGTTGAGGGATGACGGGATTGCAGTGTCGAAGGAACCCTTCCGCGTACTCGTGAAGTTCTTGGACGACCTGGACGCGGACGGATTCCGGTGTTGGGTTTTCGGCCCACGACGAGGCCATGGCCGCTAGACGGTGCCATGTGCGAGTCACTTGGATGTTGATTAGTGCCAGCGTCAACGTCGTCCAGCCGGTGCGAGAGTGCGGGAGCTCCTTCATCTCGGGATACAGGTCTCCGTCGTCCAGGTTTGACGGGAAGCTGACGCCTATTTGTAGGTTGAAGCTTGAAACGTTTGAAAAGCCATAGTCCTCTGCTGCTCGACCATCCCGCGCGACGAGATGCCACCAAATGCGTCTACGAATCTCGGACTCAAAGGGTGAGAGGCCGAGCTTAGTCCCGTCTCGGTGTAGACCGATCGATTGGGCTGCCCGGATGGCCAGTCCGTTCAACGTCCACAAGCCTCGACCGGGGTTGTGTATCCTGAGAGCCGCCTGCGCCTAGTATAAGCACAAGAAAGGATGTTGTATAGTGTGGGTATACATACCAAGTATACAGACAAGGCTTCGAGCAGTTTCACCGAAGGATGTTCAAGAAAGTCGGCCTTGGCAAAAGCTTGCTCGAGGCCTGTCTTGAATCGATGAAGGCTCGTCACCTTGTCTTCGCCCGTGAAAATCTGGACCGAATTGGGCTCCAGAACAACAGTTGAGACAAAGAAAATGGCGAACATGACCGCTAGTGCTTCTGAACTCGCGTTGCGAGGGTCGTCGATGGCCGTGTAGACGAGAACTTCTGCTGTCGGCCGGTGGAGTATCTTGTTGCAAATCTCGATATTGTCGACATAGTTCCTCCATAGTTCTATGGCGCCGTACTTTGAAGGAAGGAGCTCAGCAAGATCTAATTTGAGATCTGGTGCTGAGAGAATGCCCATAGGATTAAATGGCGACAGCTCCGCCGTAGCTGCCGACTCACTACTCTGTGGTGTAGTGAGAACTGATTGAATGTCATGTTCCTTTTGATGACTTGTCAGCCGACTGTCCCATGCCTCGAGTGAATGGAAGAATCACTTACCTCCTCAATGACCCGAGAAATCAGAACATCGTCAAAGTATTGACTCGACGATCCCTTCCGTAAAAGAATCTCATCGTTGACACTCTTCTCCTGCGGACCCGAAGCTGGCGCTGTGGTTGGCCTGGATGGTGATGGATTAGAGTGATTTGGTCTCAAACCCAAACCAAAGGCTGTCCCGGGCGTGGAGGCCGATGGTGAAGCCCGAAGAGCCGGAAGCTGCTGCTGTTGCTGGCTCGCCGCCCCAGCCACAAGCGTCTTCTCCAGGTCCGAAATCCGGCTTGCAACGTCGGCGATGGTGGTCTTTCGGACACGGCGTATCGGCTGGCCCGCTTGTGGATAGTGGCATTGGAAGCCGCCACGGGCACACGAAGCGCAAGGTTGCTTCTTGTCGCAGCGAATCTTGCGGCGGTGGCACAGCTGGCAGGACCGCTCGATTTTGCGGCCGCCGCTGCTGCTCCCGATGCCGAGGCGGGTCGCGCTGCTGCTGTTATTGCTTCCACTCTCATCCCCGGCGGCCGTCGGGGGCTGGGATTGGCCCGGCTGCGGCGCGTCGGGTGCTCGTGTGGGCGAGGTCCGGACAGCTCCGGAGGCAGATGTTGGATCCGGTCCCATGGGGCCGGTATGGAGAATCCGGGTGACACCAGATCCCGATGCGATACGACGCAACACAAGATCGACTTCGACAACCCGTTGCTATTTTGTCTTGGCTTGCACAAATATGATTCGACTCGCGGCAAACTTGCTGGGGGCTGAACAACAAACAGCTCTTCCTTCAGTCGAGGTGGGTGATGGACTCTAGGTCGATGGTCAGGATCCCTCGGTCTCGGCGCTTACGAGAGAACCGAGGCCGAGCGAACTATCCCACAGGCCCCGCTCCTCCTGACTCGAGATGTAAAGTGCGAGCGCCGCCCAGACAAAGTGCGAGATGAAGCGCGCAAAATCCGGTGGCAGACCGCAACACCTGCTTGTTTGCCTAGGGAGGCTGACTGTACCCATGGACCATGAGCCATGGGACATGGCTTGACCGCTTTCAGTTCTTCCCGTCGTCAGCGCGCCCGCAGAAGGCTTGATGACGGAGTAGACTCCGTCCGCATGCGTCCTAGTATCAAGCTTTGAACAAGTCCTTTAAGCTTCGCCGAGGTCCCCGAACGCGTACTATGTAGGGCGTCCCTTTATTTCCCCAGCCACCACGTGTCTGATCTTTCTGGTTTCTCTGATCTTTGTTAATCTAGAGGGATTGTCTAATCCGTCGTCTTTGAGACCGGTATAGAGGCTTTTTTGATTAGATGCTTCAATGTCTCAATGTCATATGTGACTCGGGGGTTTGCCCCTCTTGTGGGAATATGTCACCGGGCAAGCCTGTGAAGGATGCAGCGAGAACCCTGCTGCATACTATGTTCGCGGCTGCAGCCCCTGTGCTTCAATCTATCATTGATGCCAGTTGAATAGCCATATTGACAATGGTTACATAGTCGCCTTAAGAGGCAACTTGCCTCGGTACGGGCTGCCGAAGAGGAAAGAGTTGGCGTGTCAAAAGGCCCTTGATCAATATCAATAAGGTTCAACATGCTGGGAACATCCAAAAAAAGATCCATGAACATTGAAGACCATTGACACGGTACCATGCAGAACTTACTCGTTATCAAATCTCCGACTATCACTGACACGGTGAGTAATAACTAAATGGATCGACCCAGCCAGAACCTTTTCGTGTTAGTTCGTGGGGTTCCGCGCCGCTCAACGTCCATTATCCGTATCATCAGGGCATCGGGTTAACCGAGTTAGGTACGGACGCGCATCCTCCGACGCTTCAATTGGGACCAACGTCGTAGAAATGCATGCTCAGTACCAAACATCAGTCTTGTCTACACAGCAAGTTTCGACGATAGTCTTCAACATAATTTCCCTGACCCTTGACTCTTCCGGACGGATCACTACCGAGGCGATGGTAAGCTCCCGCGATGGCGCAAAGGGGGGCTACTGGCTATGCCCCGCAGACTTATTCTACACAAAGATGCTTTTCGGGCGTTGGAGTTCATCCTCATCGACCAGCCTCGAGGGAACTTGACTGCCCTCACACGCAACCTAGGTACTCCGTGGGGTATGGGGTCTTCAGGGTGAACTTACCCACCGTGTAACCCGTGGACCGGATGGCACTTTAGGAAAAAGTGACAAAATCAGAAATCGTACGAACTGAAACGCAAACAACGACTCTTCGTCTAGCATGTGGCATATGGTGCCAT